TCACAGAATTTACCGATTGTGTATGTGTGTGTGCATGTGAAGATTTTGGGTGTATTCAGTGATTATTTTGGGAAACAAGCCAACCTCAATAAATATCGTGAATGATTAATGGTGTTGTGTGTGCGTATGATGAAGTTAGTGAGTGATTAGTTGAGTGGGTTGGTGGTTGAGTTGTATGTGTTGCGAATTGTAGTGATGAAGAATGTGTTGTTGGATATGGATGTAGAGTGAATGTGTGGAATATGTGTCTGGTTATTGATCAGTGGGAGTTGAGTGATTGTGATTGTAGTGAAGTGAATTGAGTGAGTGAGTGAGTAAGTTAGCTGTGAGGTTAGGTGAGGTGATGTGTGGTGAGTGATACACATGAGATGTATGTAATTGGGAAAAAGGCCATCCGAATGTAGCGGATGTTTCATGCCTCATGAGAGTGGGCATCAGATGCCCTGTCCGACCTTGTGCAGGGGACTGCCAACCATCTCTCCTTTTCTGATGCACGATTTGTAGTCGACAACACTAACACACCTCACAACAACACGCTTCACACTCACATCTGCAACAGCTTTGCACATTTGGAGAACTGCATAAAAAAACTGTTTAAGATGAAAAGACTTCTGTGATCAGTAATTTTTCGTACGACATGTACCCACCAAGTACGTCATACCGGTATGCAAAAAGAACGAAGATTACTTAAGTCTAAAGTGCATTTACGTTAGCTATGTTTTTACACATGTGTGTAAACACAATGCATAAGGATTGAACTTATGGCTTCAGAACATAAACGGTGATAGTGATCAATATTTTTCCGAAGACCATACACTCAGTTCACTATCGCAACCTAAACAAAAAAGGTGACGTCACTCATCAACGTATTCTTCGTTTTAAACAAATTTACGATCTAGGTCTGAATATTGCGACTGCCGGACGGGATTTTGCGTCCGTGAATTGAATGGTTGGCCAAAAGTTAAATCTATTAAAGCCTTTCGTAACAATTCTTGCATATAATGATAAATGTTTGTCGATCCTTCGGGACGGCAACTTAACAAATGTATTTCAGACTATTGTTTTTGAGTGATACACCAACTCATAGCATTCGACATCTGATTTTTTGAAAGTTCCACCCGCAGCTTACAAAGAACAATGTCACTAGAATGAGGCTACAGTTTTATCCAGGTTAGTAAACTTAAACACTAATTTATTTATTCTAGACACAACAAACCGACAGTATTTTGCAAGGCAATCAGTCAAGCATAGAAAATGAGAATATTTTGATGATTTGCTCCGGTCATCGAGGACGAATAATTGTCTACTATAAGTTTCAAAGGTAGTATTTTTTAATCGCTTATCATACTAGCAAGATGGAGCAGTCAGCAAACAATAACAACTTTATTTCGAAGCTCTCCACTAGTCCAGCTAATAGAAACTGATGTCCCAGAGAAAAAAGAACATCGTTATGTATGCTATGAAATGTACAAATGTTTGCTGAAGTTTCAACATACCGATATTCGGAAATGCTTGGGACCTCCTGTAATAATAAAGAGATCTAATATTAAAGCTTTACTTTTCATAATCCATTGTGTTTGGATATACTCATAAGTGCAAGAACCTGTAAGCACATTTTCTACAGGTCACTGGATAAACTGTAAGTCAATATAGGCTCGTTGTTATTACAAACACGTGCCAATCCTGGGCAACAACATTGATAATCATGCGAAATTTGCTTATATACGTTTGAAATGACACCTCGGAAGAAACGATCCACATATATTGACGTTCTGAGAGGTTTTCAGTAAAACAGACGCTGACCAACGACTGCAGCTATAGGACGCATTAAACAATCTTCTACATTTCTCAAAGCTTGAGGTCAGAAACGAAGTACAACGTACCATCAATACCAGATTCGGAACTGCCTTCGTGGTTAATGTTTTACCTGTTAATTACAAAAAACGTGGACGAATGATAAATGAAGAAAAGGCAGATAGTAACACAAGTTGACACGAAAGCGACAGGATGTAATAAGTTGACATACCGCGTTCACAGTTTCTTTGTGAGCGTTTCACATAATAAATTTACAGAAAAATTCAGAATGTGTGTAGGAACTAATATAAGTTTAACCCAAATGATGTGATTGAACTCACCGTACAGTGATCGTCTAATTGTTATGTTAGTATGCTCAGTCTGCTTGATTTGTTTTGAACATTATCAAAGATGACTGGCATATACTTCAAGTCATTTTGTTATAAGGGGAGCTGTTTCCCATATCACACATTATTTCGGAAACTTAAACAAATCGAGTCTCGATTGCATGTCTGGTATGCTGAACAGCTGGGTTAATATTATCATGATCAGATGACGCATATTTACCAACTACATATTTCATGGCGGTGCTACTTCAGCAATTGCCTCTGCACTGCTTAGCTTTATTTTGTGACGATCTTGTCATTAACGATGCGTCCTCATAATCAAGAATGTGTCAGTGAAAAAGAGTCATGTATATTGTGAAAGCGCAAGAATACAGGACTATTAATAAAATGTATGCCAGATAACTAGAGTGGAGAGGCATTATCTACTGAGACAAGAAGAAAATACTATGGAAGGTATGAAAAAACACTGACTTCAACGTCTCTAGACGTTCTGAGTCACAAAAAGAAACCTCATAAGGAATGGATCACTTTCGGAACTCAAGGAACGAAATGAAAGACGTAGGTTAGTTAGGGTTTGATCACGTACCGACCAAATTAAGGCAATACAAATCGCTGTTGAACAATCATTTGAATGAAACTCGTCACTATATATCAACTTCGCCTACTATGATATAGTGTGGCAAGAAAACACTATAGAACATACTTCGACACTATGGTGTACCTGAGAAAATCGCCAACACCATACGCAATTCATACGGCGGACTACTGTTCAAAGTCGTGCATGGAGATCATCTGACAGATGCTTTACATGTCAGGACCGGAGTCAGACAAGGCGGTCTACTCTACCCCTTCCTTTTTCATCTGGTGGTTCACTGGATTATGAAAACCTCTAGATATCAGGCAAAACATGTGATAGCCTAGATGCAATTAGACGATCGAGACTTCGCAGATGACATGGCTATTCTATCCCATACAAATCGACAAAGCAGACCAAGACAAACAGTATAACAACAGCGTCTGCATCAGTAGGCCTTAATATGCACAAAAGAGAAAGCACAATCCTAAAATACAACACGGAGAACATCAACTCAATTACTCTTGATGGAGAAACTGTTAAAGAGGTGGAAAGTTTCACATATCTGGGTAGCATTATCGATGAATGTGGAGGATCTGATGCAGACGCAAACGCGAGGATTGGCAAAGCAAGGGCTGCATTCCTACAATTGAAGAACATATAGAAGGTACAAGTATTTATTAGCAATTGTCTAAGTAAGATACTGAATGTCCGTCGACCGGATTTCCCTACATTGAGAGAGGACAAACCAGCTTCCAGCTGAGGAGACGTTGGAAGTGGATAGGACACACATTGAGGGAATCATCAAACTGCATCACAGGGCGAACACTAACTAGGAATGCTGACGGCAAAAGAAAACGAGGAAGGCCAAAGAAAACATTGTACCGGGAATCGGAAGCCAACATGAAAAGCATCAATTGCAATTGGGAAGGATTGCCCAATACAGAGTTGGATATGCAATGATGGTGAGAAGCCTATGCACACCCAAGTGTGGTAACAGTCACAGGTAAGTTCTTACACATTATCATTTAAGTATATTGTTTAGTTATTGATGAAACGATCATCTGATAGCACTCGAATTATCTATCTGTTATTTCCCCATTTCTACCAACCAGCCTCCTGCCTGGTAGTGTGTTAGTTGCTTGAATCCAGAATATACCCTGACACACACACACACACACTGTACACTATACCTTTCAAAGAACCCTATCTTCGGTCTGCTAAATAGGCTTGATGTAAACAAATCTGTGGTACCCATTGAAATGCATCCCAAGGTTAATGAAGGAGTTAGCAAATTTTGTCGAAAATCCCTTGAGCATATGTCTTAATCTATCTGTAACCCAGTTTCGATTACCATAAAACAGAAGGAATGCCACACTAAGTCGAAACAGGTATGAGACACAAACCTGAGGACTATCGTCCGTTGGCTTAACCAGCGTCGTTGCTGAGATTTCAGAAGGATTTGCTTACGTGTCTAGACGAGAACCGGATTCTTTCTGAACAGTATCATGGCTTTAGAACAGACTACTCATTTCTCACCGACTTATTAGTGGCCCGTGAAAATCGGTGCGCTCTTATGGATCTAAAGTTACCTGTAAATGTTGTAAGGCTTTTCACGAAATTCCTCAAAACCGGCTGTTATATAAGTTAATATCGTGATTGGAAGCAATCTATTGAAGCGGATATAAGACTTCCGAGTTGGGCGTCAACAAAATGTGTGGGTGAACATAGAGTTGTCTAGTTGGGAAACTGTGTTTGGCGGAGTGCTACAGGGTACAGTTTTGGTGCCAGTGTGGTTTCTTCTGTGAGGCCCTTCTTATTGGAACCCAAGAAGACTAATGGTGGCTGCTTTCGTAGCATAAGCACAGACGGCAAAGTATGTACCAGTGTAGTACGTGTTGTTACAATACGTGCCAAACACCCGACTGTGAATCATGGTGAAGTAAAATCTCCTTTGATACTACCGAAGGGTGAAATATCACTTTATGCAGATGATCATGACTCTAAAGCATAAACGGAGGACCCGGGTAGAGCTGTCACCGATGTGGTTGTTCTGAGTGACGGTAACTGGATGACCGTGCGGACACAATGAAGAGAAAGAAAAACTCCAACCGCTTGAATGGTTAATGTCTGATAAATTCCTTTTTCGCGTCGCAAAATACACTAACAAAGTTGAAAAGTGAGACGGAACTCCCTTGGAGCGTGGTTGGAATAAGCTTAATCATACTGAACATTACTATAAGTATTTTGCTTGAAACATACGACCCTGACCCAAAAATCAGATACGCGCATGATTTAAGAAAATCGGAACATTCATTCGTAGCGTCTTACGAGATAATTCGGAAGGAATTCAGGTCAAAATATTGACAAGAATAGGTAAGAGGACCAACAAGAGTGTTAAAATCTGACTATATAGACTCCTTAAGGCAATCATAGGGTCGAAGAAACACTGAGGTTCGTTAAATATCGCTCGAAGTCACGATGATACTGACATAAGTCAGTATCATCGTGACTGAAATATTTGAATAAAACCTGATGTGCCTCTCTAAGATAGAATTAAAAAGAAATTGGCACTAAATAAACTGGAACTTCTTCAACAGCATTGAAGAGAAAATTTCAAATAGGTTTTGGAAGTGGATGCTATCAAGGCCTGTGTGGATTGGTCGTTCTCTCTAGAAACTTTTTATGCAAATGATTGTAGTCTGAGAATTAAATTCAGTAAGCTGAGAGCGTTAACGCTCCCACTTATTCTTCTACTATTGTTAGTAGACAAATTAAATCTAATCGTCGCAGTTGTTTTCAAGTCATGACTTACTATTACCCCGAAGTCTTAATGTTCCTGTACGCATGGAAGAGATGTAACGTCGGTAGTATACTGGTAACTTTTTCCGTGTCCGATGTTCAGGAGCACACTCTAGACTTAACTTTTAATCCCCAACTTTGGGCCCATCTAACTGGTTCGTCTAGGTCAGCTTGAAGATCAAAATGATTATCCTTACTACTTATTTTCTCCAGATTTCAATATCATCCGCAAACAATAATGTCGACGACTTAAGCAATACGGTAATTCATTGACGTAGAGGAGGAAAAGTAGGGGACCTAAGATCGTGCTTTGGGGTACACCACTTTTGACCGGTTTCCATTCACTTAGCGTCCCATAAACCCTCACTCTATGTGCGGCTACGTAAGAAGTATCTTATCCATTCCTGTGCAGCATTTGTTATTCCGAAGGTGTAAAACTTTGTCAAAAGCTTTGTTAAAGTCTATGAATATCACATCGATAGGCAAACCGTTATCTAGAGCTGCTGTACAATCCTCTCTCGCAATAAGTAAGTTGGTCAATCATGAACGCTTGTTTGGAAACTCGTGTGGCTAGGAAGTTAAAAGACCGTATGATTCTATGTTACTTAGTAACTTAACGACTATGCTGGTTAGACTGACAGGTCGGTAGTTAGATACGATCTCTCTGGTCATCTCTAAATATAGGACTGACTATACCATCTTTCCAGTCTCTAGGGTGTCGAATTGCTTAAAGTCCTTTGTACGCATCACTGTCATATGTAAAGATTACAAGCATTTCTTAAAAAAAACCAGTAAACATGTTTTAAACTCCCTTTTTTAGTATGCATTAGTGTCTACACTTGCGTAGTAACGGGATCTGGAACTAGTTATTAATGTTAAGTTTCATAAAAAATATTTTATCAGTAATTTAACTACAATTAGGCTAAACCCACATTTTCTTTACTAGATTACTTTTGAAGTTATTGTGCTTTTTATAGATGTTTTTGCAATATATTCTCTTGTTTTCAGTTGAAATGACTCACACTTGCTCTAAACCTATACTTATTGGACCATCAATTTTGAATGCGGATTTGTCCAAACTAGCTGTTGTTTGTGATCATCTACTTAACTCTGGCGCTGATTACCTACACCTCGATGTCATGGATGGACATTTTGTACCCAATATCACATTTGGGCATCCTGTTGTAGCGTCTTTGAAAAAACACCTTCCATCAAAGGCGTTTTTAGATCTTCACATGATGGTTTCTAATCCCGAGAAGGTAGTTTTCTGTGATATATTGTTAAAGATTTTCTACAGAATAAATTATCATTCGAAGAATCTTTAAAAAAACATTTGCGTAATTTGATTTCCTTACATTGTAACCTAAAACTAGTCAATAGACCACTAAAATCCAATTGATTTTAGATTATCAACTCCAGTATTTTGCTCGAAATCCTTTACAAAATTAATTAATTAATTAATTTAAAAGTCGCACAACAAACGTGCTACAATCAAGTAAACGGATTTAATTCTAACGATCGAGATTTTTTTAATAGTTTCAGTCATTTCTGCCTTCGAAGAAGTATTTGCCAATCATATCAAAAATTAGCATTTGTTTGAATTAAATCAGTTCATTATTCTTTTCAGCAATTTTGTAAGCTACGTTAGTCTAAAGAGTTAACATCAAAAAAGTGGATATTGTTTACTGACTAATAAAGTGGTGCGAAATAATTTTTCAGTGTTTCCAATTATCCTGTTTTATTTCAGTTAACGATTTTGACTAGCCCGAAATGACCTAAGATGAACGAATTTCAGAAAATTACCAAGTTGTAGTAAATAAATGCTTCAGAGTCAGTAGTTTCAAAAAAGCTTATCCTTACCAGTCTCAATGTACAAAATCTTATGCGGTTTAAGTCACTGGTATTGATTTTATGTCAATGTAGTGCTGTTTTGGCATAGACCCCATCTTAATATCTTCCTTATAAATATATTTACTGTTAATATGGGTTATAGGATGAATAATAAACAGTTTACGTGCAGGAAAATACAAACTCAATTATTGTTACACAAGTATACATTTTTATACAAAATTCACCATTTTGCTTTACTGAAGCACTCGGTTTTTGCCTAGTGGACCATATGTTCGAGCAACGCTTCACCTACTTTCAATTCTCATACTTGGTAATAGTACTACACCGTCAACCATTTGGTCAACTGGGTAGTATGACTAATACTCGCATAAACAATATGGTACAGAGATAAGTGCATAAATGTGTTCATAGTAGATGAATTTAATTAGCAATAGTCTGTTCGACGTAAGCCACGTAAAAAACTGGCACAAATTTGTTTCAGTCCAACTTAAGGATATGGTTGCTTTTCTAGACTCGTTACGACCCCTACGTGAATTTATTCTTTGCACTCACGTATTTATCCCTATCAAATACTCATTTGTAACGTTAAGGGTTTTATGCATGTGTGTGCTTAACCCACGTGCATATACTGTTTTGTAGTTTATACATTATTGCCTTATATACAGATTAAGTCATCCATTATTCATTGATTTTTAGCTAGAATACCGACTTCCATGTTCGCTGCTCTCTTAAAGTTCGTATGATCTTCACATGTATGTATGAAATATAAATATCGGAAAACATATTTAGTGTTCTACTTTTTCTACGTTGTATTAATGTGATCAGTCGATACAAGATATACGAAGCTAAGTAGAATCGGTACTTTATTAGCATCAACATCCTTAGAGCAACAAGGAGTCAACACAAGATTAAATTATCTCGATGAACTCCAAAGTAGAAGTAGCAATATCAGTGATAGAAAAAACAACTAGGACCAGTGAATATTGTTCGAGCAGAAAGAATGAATCTATTCAAAGTATGTACAAAATATTTTTTAAACTCATTATCTAGAGATAAGCAAAAATTTAAAGCGTCCGGGTCACCAATTTTGAGTTTTCGCAGTGTCTCTAACCACTGGACATGATTATCACCCCTATCCAGCCCGGCAGTTTGCATCTACCAATATGGATCAGTTGATATCACCTCTAAGAAGATTGCCACAGTCTCACATAAAACAGTTATTATCAAACTTCACCTAAATTGTTCTGATTGTAGTGTTGAGTTTTGTCATTGAACATATCCAATTTATATTTCTAATGCATCAGTTTCATACGCGTACTACTTCCCTACTGTACTTTAATATTTGAAAGTGGGTTGAGAATATGAAAGCTGCTGGGGCAAGCCAATACACTTTTCACTTAGAATCAACTGGAAATGCTATGCATTGTATTCACAAAATACGTGAAGCCGACATGAAAGTGAGTATCAACAAAAACTCTATTTATGTTAGCGGTTTTATATTTTAATGTTAATGTCATCATTCTTATTTATGGTGTGCCATCATATAAAAAAGCTCATTATAGTGGAGAAGTTTATCAAACAACTTCAATATGACTATATTTAAATATCGAAGGGATCTAGTCTACGGTTATTAGACTAAAAATTAGTCATAAACAACAATTACTTTTATGTAGTCAAGTTTCTTTTTAGGTTGTATTATCCATTAACACTCTTTTCATACTTGACTAGTATTAAGTGGTATATTGGAAATATTACACAGCACACTGCATAGAATATTGTTTCTTTCGTTTTCTTATCAGGTCAATCTAACATTATCTTTCATCTTGCAAGTTTTGCATTTTACACTATATTTCCAGTTCATTCTAAATGATTGAATGGTCTATTAAAATAATAAGTATCGCGACATCCAAATCTGTTTAGGTTAGTAGGTTGTACTCTGTAGCACGTAATGCCATTACACATGTGTCCATCTAGCTTTTGGATATACTTCAATCAATTTGATCATCCTAACAACTCTTTTTTCATAGGGAATTGTGACCTCTAGTATATATACCTCTCATATTCATGTCATTACAATACTACACTTACATATCTCATACGTAGTTGTGTGTGCTTGAACACTCATTATTTTATCCGATATCTGACTCGTAATACGCATGATCTATTTTGAAGTATTGATGCTTACAATAAGTAATATTTTGAGTAAGTACATCTGCCTTTTCCGTTTCTCGTCCTATTGTCTGTCTGAGTAAACGATTATCTGAAAGAAATTCATTCACCTTAGTTCGTATTTGCCTTTTATTATCACCGTTACGCAAACGGAGTTAGCCTAAGTACAATCTACGAAATCAAATGACTAGGTTTTGTTCATATTTCATTTATAGTTTCCCTCAACCATTTCTAATGAAGTCAGTACGTCATCACAACTGCGGTGACATCTAAATATAGGTCGCTGTCAGTTTCTCATAACGGCGATAAATGGCCAGAGCTCAAATCTCACTCATAGAATTTCCGTATAAATTTTGTTGTTGAGACTCAACACAGAAATATGATTCAAACATAGCTTCGGGCTAATCATCCAAACAGAATTCTATACATTGGATACAGTTATGTACACTATACAGGATTTTTTTTAGCTTGTCGTCATTTCATTGCTTTTTGTTGTATAACACGAGATTTTTGTTATCTTCCAGGTTGGTCTTGGTATAAAACCAAAAACACCAGTCACTGAAGTATTACCTTATGTTGACTCCGTTGATATGATTTTAATTATGACTGTCGAACCTGGTTTTGGTGGGCAAAAATTTATGGCAGATATGTTACCAAAGGTAAACCATTTTTGCTTATCATTTGCTTAAGTCATAATACTATCAATACTATTCATATTAGAGTTAGTTGTAAAAACTGAAATGGTGTAACTGAACAAATAAAATTATCATTATTTGCCACAATGCTAAACATACGATCTAAATTCTCATTTTCCATTATTTTATAGATCATTCTGTTTACCTTGTGTTATATTTATCAGTGTAAACTCCATGATAGTCTTCATACCTTCGTTGAGTGTGTATGTGTGTTTACTCTTGTAATAATATCTTGTTCTGTGTTTCAATTTTCATCAGTAAAAACTCAAGATTAAACAGTGTAAATTAAAGGTTCATATATATCTAATACCCCCTTGTACCAATATGTATGCATAAAGAAATAAATAAAATGCAGCCCAAACAGAAAGCGGCGGCCTGCTTGAATATCTGGGCTACCTGTTTCTGCCATCTAATTATTTCAACAGGTTATCTATTCTTTCATTTTGTTTTAACGTCTCATTATGTCCATTAATTGGATAACCTATTCAGGCGCTTTTATGAAAAGCCTACGACGTTTCGCTGCACAAGTTACAAAAAAGTACTATAAAAGACATCGTGGTAGTTGGCAATATGCGTTAAAGAGAATGAACATTAATCGTATGTCGATTCCCGATCTGCTAAATTCTAACTGCCGATCACTAATCAACAAAGTGGACTATCTGCAATTCCTACTAGGTCAAAATATGTATCATAATTGTGGTGTCATCACAACTCAAGAATCTTGGTTAAATGATTTACAGGACGACTGCCTAGTATCACCACGTGATTTCCAAATTTATCGTCAGGATCGATCAAACAATAAAAAGAGGTGTGGCGGCGGTGTAGCTACGTTTGTAAACGTAAACTAGTGTCGATCTTCGTTTGTGTGTTTTAAGTTTTCAAGTGACTTGATCGACTGTCTAACTCTAAGATGTCGTCCAAAACACCTGAATAAATACAAATATGTTTATGTTACCAATATCTACGTGACTCCAGACTGCACCTCATCTGCGCTATCTGTTTTCGCTGACGAGTTCACCGAGTTCGCTGTTACTGCCTTCAGTGACCCACTTTCAATTGTATGTGGTGATTTCGATTCATGTGACTGTAGCTTCCTTACGCCACTAGGTCACCAAAATGTAGAAGATTTTCCTACCGGTTTGGATGTCTATTTAGACTTCGTTTTCATTAATGATGTGGGTATATATGTGACTCGTAAACGTGCTCCATTGTCTAGCTCAGATCACTGTATAATTCGTGTTCTGCCTAAAGTATATGAAAAGCATGGGAAGAGTACACTCTTACATCAAACGAAGAAAGTCAAATATAGGAATTACTCAGAAGAAAATATCCAAAATCTGAAAAAACATGTTTCATACGACTGGGAATTATTTACAGATGACTCACTGGAAATCACTACTGATGTTATCACTTGTTACCTTAAATTCTGTTTTGATATTTGTTGTCTCACTGAAACCATTTTTGTAAGTTTTGATCGACTTACATCTTCACAACTAAAACGACTACGGAGGGTGAAAGAGAGAATATACAAGGAGAAAAACTCTAATGAAGTTCGTAAGCTAAATGGTCTGATAAACCTAGAGATTAGAAGTCTCAACTCTATGTCTACTCAAAAACTCTTGTCCTTCAAAAACTCTCGAAGTATGTGAAAACTCTTTAAAGAACCTACAGGTGACAGACAGTTTAGGAGCGATAACCAGCTGAATGTTTGTGACCTAAATAAGTCTTTTGTACGTCAGTCATCTGATGTGATGCTCCCTTTATCCACAGGTTTAAGGAATAGCTGTGTTCCTAGTTTCACCGAAACTGATGTCCGAAGATGTCTCCAGTCACTTAATTCATCCCGATGTTTAAGACCTGATGGTATCCCAAACCTCTTTTTTTTAAATGTGCTGACGTCCTATGTTATCCATTCACGACTATCTTTAGCAGATCCTTCTCATCTAATCTCATATCGAAAATGTGGAGAAAGATGAAGATAATCCCTGTATCCAAGAAAGTATCTGGTGATAAGAATGTGAAATTTAGACCCATTGCAATAACTTCACCCTTCCTCAAAACAATGGAAAAATTATTAATACTTCCACTTCAGCCTGCGATAAAAAAGCATATTGATTCTTACCAGTTCGCTTACAGATGCAAGAAAGCACCTTAGATATTGTTACTGTTCTGCATCACAATATAGTGTTCAGCTTAGAAAAGGGTAAGAAGTATGTTCGATGCGCTTTTCTGGATTATAATTCAGCTTTTGATTCTATATTAAGACAACGTTTATTTAACAAGTTAATCAGCGTCAACACTGACAGCTGGATAACCAACTGGCTATGTTCCTACCTCTCTGGAAGGGAACAGTACACTGCATTTGGAGGAAAGTGTTCAGAGTCTCTACTGTCTCATGAAGGTGTACCACAAGGAGTTGTTCTTTCACCTCTTCTTTCCTCTTTTTTCTGCATGATCTGCCATCTTCCACAAAAAACACTTTTGTGAAATATGCTGATGATCTCACTGTATGTATGCCTATCTCTTCCTCTTTACATCCCATAGAAATGAATGAGTTTTTGTCTCGTATTGATTATTGGTCTGTTGATAATGGTCTTATACTTAATTCATATAAATGTAAAGCTGTTAACTTTGGCATGAGACATGAAGGACATCTAGACACTATTTTGAGATCTCATAATGCTTGTGCCATTGGAGACTCTGATAAACACAGTGTTGAAGGTCAATTATTTTGGTGTTACCTTTTCCTATGATCTCACTTGGTCTTCTCACGTTTTATTGTTATAGAAGAAGGTTTTCCGTCTGACTTACTACATAAAGAGATTGCATGCTCTTGGGATTGCTCGTCATTTACTCCTACAATTTGTTATTTCTTGCATATTACCTATTATTCTTTACTGTTCTCCATTATTCTTTCCCGGGCTTTTGTGAAAAGACTTTGCTGTATTGCGGAGAGTGCTGAAGGCAGTTAGCAAGATGTGTGGTGAATCTTTCGAGATCATAATTAATATGGTTGTGGATAGACATCTAAAGTCATGCGAACTCCTGGCAGTTGTTATTTTATCAGATACTAACCATCCCCTTCACTCTTATCTTTCTCCTTGTATATCTTCCGGTAGAACGAGACGTAATTACATCAAAATCCATGCATGCAAGCAAAAGTATAAAAGTTCTATAATACCTTACCTAGCAAATATACTCTGTGACGAACAGTTTGTTAGAGTTAACCTAGTCAATAATCTGCATTCTTAACATGTCTGTAATTTGAAAAGTTGTACAGTTTTTCGGTTTTTTAAACCTTTTTTTCCTTTTTTGTCTGTTACTATTTTTTTTGCGTAAGTAACTTGTTGAAATACCCTGTGCTGAGAATTCTATATAGTACCAAAATATGATATTGAATAAAGCCAATAATAATAATAATAATTCTAGCTCCCGAACTAAAAACCTAGCCGATTTGAGTTCGTTTATTGTTTGAAATCTAATAGTCCTAAGTGTGGTTTTGTTAAAGAAATATCAGTATTTCTAATACACATCATCCGAGAACTTTTTTAATACTAAAGTTGTAAATTCTTGTCTTTGTAAACGGGTACGTAATCCCAATCAGTTATAACTGACAGATTGACTGATATTGTGTGGTGTGCTACTTATGTTGACATAAGTAGTATGTAACACCAGTTAGAAATAGAATACCTGGCAGCAGAAGGTTAAGAAGATCGAATGGAAGAAAACGGCGACGGAGAGTGATTGTTATGGCAATGAAGGAACAATAATATTTGAGACAATTGATAAACATTTCGAAAATGAAGTATTAAACGTATGGTCTTCACATTTTTCCAAATAACTCCGTAATCATGTGTGAAAATGCATTTGGTTGTCCCAGCCTATGTTCTTGTTCATTACAATATAACTTTCTAGATTCGCCAACTAGAATCCAGACTACAATTTTCCACCCCGCGTATGCTACTCCGTCTATAACCTCGCGTCCTTAACACTGATTGGTGACACATTCCGACCTAAACAACTAACCTTGAGCTAACGTAAACTCCACCCTTATCAGATCACCAATACGCACTCCTTCTAACTATAGTCTTAATTTCGGGAGGAGAATAAGGGAACTAAACTTATCTTATTGCATCACAATCACTTAGCATCTATCTCAAATACCCTTTACTACATATACATAACTGGTAATTACCAGTGATCAAGCCAAAAATTTGGATTCGCTACGTAGATGACACCTTCGTCATCGTCAAAAAGAATGAACTGGAAAACACATACAAACTGATCAACAACGTTTTCAATGACATCAAATTCACAATGGAACAAGAGTCAAACAACCAACTAGCATTCTTGGATATATTGATCACTAGAACTGACTCAGGAAAACTGGAAACTCAAGTATATAGGAAACCGACCCATACAGATCAAATTCTCAACTACAACAGCAACAACCCAAGAGCTCACAAAATCAACTGCGTACACACATTGTTCAAGAGGGCGAGGACACACTGCAGCACATTGGCAGCACGAAAAAATGAAGAGAAACACCTGAAGGACATATTTCAAAAGAACGGCTACCCAATCAACTTCATCAAAAAGCACCAACGGCACACAGCATCAGAACCCAAGTCAAGCACAAAAATCAACAAAAGGATCACCCTACCGTACATAAAAGGAATATCAGAAACCGCAACGAGACTGCTGAAAAACTTCGGGATAGGTGTGGCACACAAACCAACAAAATCACTACAATCAATCCTATGCAAACCAAAGGATGAAATAACAAAGGAAAACAAATCAAACATCATCTACAAAATAAATTGTGCCAACTGCGACAAACACTACATCGGGCAAAGCGGACGCCCCCTCCATCTACGCTTACATGAACATCAATTAGCAGTCAAACGCCATGATATCTCTTCACTTATATCAATACACGTGGATAACTACGGACACTCATTCGATTGGGAAAATGTAGAAATCTTAGACAGAGGAAACTCCAAAAATGCCAGAGAATTTTTAGAAGCCTGGCACTCAGGTCAATCAGCAATCAACAAACATATTGAAATCAATCCAATTTATCAACCAATCAGAAAAATCATGCATAAATATAGGAACAAAAATCAAACCAATGGGAGACACAACCAAAACAAAGAAGTAAACAATGATAAATTTAAGGTCAACAAGAACCAATCAACATCGAAGTGCACAGAACAAGCTGTGAAACACATATGGAGAAATTCGAACACTTCACTTCTATTTGAAGTTTGTGCTGATGATGTCGTTCAGAAGAACGATGAAAGCTCCACGACCAAACCATCCAGCTCAGAGAACAAAACTCCACCAAAATCATCCACCTGAGCTACAAATCTTCTCCACCATCTCAATATACATAACTTATCCAAGACACACCAAATAAGAAATCACACTGCGTACTATCCTCGCATAAGTATCAGATAGTGAAGCAAACAGTAGATAATTCTCCTATACTCGCATCGCCCAAAAAAACCACAAAGGGAACTGAAGAACTTTTATGCAACGAGAAAAACTTATTCGATCCACATTAGATATAACTCCATTCAGTATATTCTGTATTCAAATCAGTTTTCGTCATTGATGATATCCGTAAACAATCCAGTATGATGATATAAATCTCCATATTTAGAAGATCTCGCCTATCAGCTTATTTAAAAACAGTTTGAATTTTTGTGTAATTAATTGACATCTCTACTTATTGAGCATATGCTAGGATGTTTTTCCAAACCTAGATTGATTCTGTTCACATTCGATTGACACAGCCACAATAGAGTGTACTTTGTTTTACATGTCACATAAGGACGAGATATTTAATGTTAAATTCATTCAAATAACTTGTCTTTTGTTAGCTAACTTTCACAAACCACATACGTAAGATATCTTCAGCACTGAATAGCGAGTTAAAGTCCTATTTCACTGTTGTATGTATATATATATATATATAATTTTTACCAGCAGTTTATCTTTATTTTACTGTATTTGTTTTACATCAATATATTTCAAGACTTATCTACTCTATTCAAGGTTAAATATCTTCGTGAAAGGTATGCAAATTTGGATATTGAAGTTGATGGTGGTGTCACCCTGAAGAACGTTCGAGATTGTGTCGAAGTAAGTCTACTGAATCTTTCATTTGGTTCAACAACGCTTTCGAAAATTTCCTTGGTCCTGATAGCAATGTGATGCCTCTGTGGTTCTCTCGCCTTTTAAAAGCTTTGTTTGGTATCTTGATGAGGTATCCTTCTTTCCAGTCTATCGGTAACACTTGTTCTTCCTCCAATATCTTCCTGAGCAGAATATGGAGCATGTTTGCAGTTACTTCTATGTCTGACTTGAGTGCATCAGCTAGTATATTGTCAGGTCGTGCTGCTTTGCCGCACTTGATTTGTCTGGTTGTCATGCCGATTTCTCCAACCGTTTGTGGAGTGACATCTATAAGAAGGCCTGTGCGTGCTGCTTCCACGCCCGGTGGATCCAATGGGGCTGGCCTACTCGAGAGTTCTTCGGAGTGCTCTACCCATATACTCGTTGTTCTTGAACCTCAGTGATTTGCTTTCCTCCTTTGTCGTTCTGGTTTACTATATTTCCCTGCTAGTTTCTTTGTTGTGTCATATAGTTGTCTAATATTTCTTTCTTTCGCATCTTTTCCCGCCGTCATTGATAGGTCTTCCACGTACTCCTGTTTGTCATCTTTGGTGCTCCTCTTCACCCGCTTGTTTGCTTATTTGTATTTGACCTGTGTTTTGAATTAATTTGCTTATGTTCGGCTATTGTTAATTGCTGTCCTCTTGTTCTTTTATTGAATCTTGCTCAGCGTACTAATAGAGATCCTTATTTTATGATGGTGGCTCTTGTGGTTCAGTATCTAACTTGTTGAAGTTAGTGCTTTTTTGATATCTTTCCAGATCTTCTGCATAATAGTTTCTTATTCGTCAATTAGATGCTGTAAGGCTTGAAACTTGTTACTGAGAACTATCTTGAATTCGCCAGGTTTGTCAGTATCTTGATGAAAGCCAGTATCAAACTTTTGTAATGCCGCTCCTCCAGTTTTTCAGTGCTTCTTTAGCTTTTGTTCCACCCTCACCACCACCATATGGTGGCATGAAACTACATCCGTTCTTCTGTTTGTTCTCGCGTCTTCCATGGACGTTGTTAATTCTTTATTGATGCAAGTCTGATCGATGTAGTTCTGCATAGTATGGTCCGGTAAAACTTGTGTAGCTCTGTACATGCTTTTGTGGCGGAATATTGTGCCACTTATAACCATTTTGTTGAAGGCACATAGCTTTGCAAATCTCCTATCATTTTACTTCCTTTCTTCCAGTCCATGTCGTCTCATGATATCTTCATATCCGGTGTTGTCCATTCTGATCTTCGCTCTCATTGTTGGGTGCATAGCACTGAATGACATTCATTGTAATTCCCTCCTTTGCTTTACAGGAAGCTTTGATGATTCTGAATTCATGAAATTCCTACCCAGTAAGTGTTGTGACGTGCGGTGTCCGAAATCTGATACTGATACGTAGTATGCTATGCTCTTCTGTTTACCATCGAGTAACCTTTTGCTACTTCTGATTGGCTCTACATATTAATGAGTGCTTTTCATGCATTTTTAAACAACATCAGTGCAACTCGTTGTGTATGTGAAGCAGTTTCTTCTCCATGACCAGAGTACAGAAGCACCTTTCTTGAAGCTAATCTTTTCTCTACAACTTGTGTCCAATGAGTTTCACTTATTGTGAGAACCGCCAGGTTGTATCTCTTCATTTCTGGAGTTACTGACATGGTTTCCCCGGTCTCCCATATGTGCGGAGATTCTATGTGTCCACATTAATTGTTGTTCTGGTCGTCAGGAGGGGCACCAGTTTCGTGACTTTCGGAGAATTTGGGGTTTCACCGTAAGGTGTCATCACTCCCAAATGAAGATCCTTTAACTTCCAGGGCAGAGTTTAAATGATTTTTTCTGGTTAGCGTTTTTTAGCAAGTTTGGTTTCAACGGGATAGGGTTGCCGACCTCATTCCCAACCCTCCTTCTTGTGTCCTCAGTAACCCTAGAAGGTTTGTATAAAGGGTTCTTTAAGTGGTCACTGAACGAATTCATTAATAGCTTTCGTCGATGACTGTTGCAATGAATTTCGCACTGATTGAAGTTGGTCAAAGCCTATTTGTCTTGATTTCTCGATGTATTAGATCCGTATTTCAAACAGTCTTACCTCTAAGGACGGGAATACGTGGAATAAGTTGTGACAATATAAGGGAAAACCTTTTCTAACGTATTCCCTTCGTTGTGAAAAAAAACAGTAGATACTGGTTATCTGAAAAAATATCTTACTGTTGTTACACTCCTGTACAGTCAACAGTACAGCTTCACTCTCCGATCTTAAGTTGCTACTTTTACCCTTACCGTTCTTCAGCCGACCTGCTTGGGATGAGTGGATTACAGGAACAAGTAATCCACCCAATATAACTCTATCGTTTCATCACTATGAGTAAGCCAGATCACCACGTCAATGTACCAGCCAAAATCCCCGACCGTTGTTGCTACCTTGACGTGGTGGTCGGGCTCGCCTATCGCGATGAAGCAACCGAGCTATACTGGCTGGAACAACCGTTCCTCAAGGTTCTACCATGTCAGACAGGTCAGTTGAAGAGCGGTAAGACTAAAAGCGACAAACCTAAGGTCCGAAGGCGAAGTCGTACTGCTGACTGTACAGAGGTGTGACAGCAGTAAGGTGTTTCCTTCAGACAACCAACATGACAGCGATACTGCCTTCCCACAAGGAGGGGTGGGGTTAGAAAAGGTCGACCCTAAAAATGCACACCTCGCCTTATCCAAAGGATATCCGTCTTCAGACGCAGAAAAAGCATACTCAGAAGACCTATTAGACAGCTCTACAGACTAATAAAAGAAGCTGGAATTAATAAGTCAAGTGTAAGTCAGACTATTTCGGAAAAGGACGACACTCATCTGCTCCCAGTCCAGACGTTTAGAACGATGGGCGGAACATTTTAGAGAACAGGTCCGCAGGCCTTCAGCTACTCTACGACTACACAATATTTTCAGACAATGAATGGTCCCCCAACTCTAGCAGAAGTTCAAAAGGCTATAGTTAATCTGAAACGAGAAAGGGCAGCTGGTCCAGATAGATTGGCTCCAGAGGTCTTTAAGGATGGTGGTCCAATTTTAGTGATTGGATTGACTAATATTTTGGGTAAAATCTGGGAGTTCGGCGTAATCCTATCTCATTGGTCACAATCACTTAACGTTCCAATATATAAGAGAGGGTCAAAATCATCCTGTGATAACGATAGAGGGATTAGTTTGACTAACATAGCATGTAGAATACTAGCCTCAACAATTATCGGTCTCCTAACTAAGACTCGTGAACTGCAAACACGAGCGAATCAAGCTGGCTTCAGACCTGGTCGTGGCTGCATCGACCACATATTCACCATTCGTCAGGTTCTAGAACACAGGCGTACTTATCGACGTCCGAAAATGGTGATCTTTCCTGTTTTAAAAGCAGCATTTGACTCTGTAGACCGCGAGATTCTGTGACAGTGTCTGTCATTGAAAGGCGTACTTCAGAAGTACATAAACCTTGTGAAGGCTCTTTACTCCAACACTAGTAATCGAGTCAGAGCTTATGGCGAACTCTCATCAGCTTTTGCAGCCTCAAGTGGTGTCCGTCAAGGCTGTCCACTATCTCCATTTCTGTTTAACTTCATCATAGACCTACTGATGGGAATAACATTCTCGTTGACTGAATTCTCGGATATTGATCTCCTTCCAGGAGGTGCACTTATCGACTTACAATACGCAGATGACATAATCCTGTTTGATGAAGATGCTGATAAAATGCAGAGTCAATACCTGAACTAAGGATAGGGAGTGAAGTAGTCGAAGGCGTTGACAACTTCACTTATCTTGGAAGTCTGATCAGCCCTAATGGGTTGGTGTCTGACGAAATCTCAGCACGGATTCGAAAAGCTCGTCTGGCTTTTGCCAACTTACGTTACCTAAGGCGAAGGCAAGATATTCATCTATCAATTAAGGTACGAGTATACTGCGCGGCAGTCCGTTCTGTTTTAATTAACGGCAGCGAAACATGGCCATTAAGAGTAGAAGATACTCGTAAGCTACTAGTATTTGACCACAGATGCCTTAGAAATATTGCTGGCGTCTGCTGGGATCACCGGGTAAGTAATAGGGAGGTTAAACGCAGAGTATTATGGAATGATGGTAAATCAGTCGATGAGGCATCAATGCTTGAAGTCACTAAATTCTAGTCTGAGCCATGTTAGTAGATGCAGACTACTTGGTTGGGGTCCGCGTGACTTTCGTAACCAATGGTTGGAGAGTCTTGGTGACATGGCTCAGAATCGATCACAATGGCGATGGTGTATACACTCTCTGTCTTCCCTTAAACTAAGGGATTAAAATCGCTCCATATCTTTCTTTCTACGAACTAATTCTTCCTTCCTGTACTATATCCCGATACGCAATCTTTATTGTATATATTACCATCATTGAATTAACTACTTCTATGAATCCGGTGTTCATGTTGTTGTGCTAATGAGTGAGGTGCAGCAACTTTGACCGATGCATAAATGTGCCTCGTCCTACATTGCAACTGACCAGCTGAACACGGTAAATTAAACGATTTGTAGTAGTCGGTGTTCAATATAATCCTTAAACTTCGTATACAGTTCGTCTTGATAACCGTCACTAGATAACACCCCAACGGTATATTAATCAGAAGGCGAATACGAAGTGTTGATTATGTTTATTATGGGACCACACACAGATATCCAAAATTACAGGTGCGTTAAACAAGCGTGAAAGAGTTGTGCCGAAAGGCAAGCGAGCGAGTGAGCGGCTAGTAGTAAAGCTAGCAGCGTGAATAAATGCATAGTCAGTAAGCAATGCTCAAGCATACATGCTCATGCATTCGCAACAATAATAAAGATAAGTTGCTGTACGGATGACTCAATTCGTTAATAAGTTAACAAAATGACTTAACCGAATTAAATGTGAACCAACTCAATTGCATATGAGTTGCTATAGATTGATAGTTTTCGATCCAAATTCTACCGTCTCAGATTGGCAGAAATAATTGTTATTGTATATGTATAACGGTATTTCAATTTGGTATATATATATATGTATATCGTTTCATTCTTTTACTTTCCCAGGCTGGAGCGAATATGATTGTCTCTGGCACCGAAATAACAAGTCATGAAAATCCTGCTAATATTATTAGATTGATGAGATCTAATGCTGGTCAACTTTTTAATTCATCACTCATAGATTAGTGAAATATTAATGATCATTTTTTTTTGTACTTTGGTTCAACTAAATAGATTCTTTTTCTACAATAAAAAAATATATGAATTTGACAAGACAGTTGTGCATTTTACACATTTAATCGATTGACAAATTTGGGCTGATTTAGTGCTTAGGTAGATGAGTAAATTTGACTGAATTATCTTTTATATTTGTAAATTGTGATATTCAGTCGAGTTAAGTTTATGGGATCTCAGTTTTGCTAGTTTCATCATCATGTGCTATTCCTTGATAATCTTTTTAAAATATATTTGGAAATCTGTCAACCAACACCAATGTCAGAATTTTCAATACAAATGTAAAGGCAGTTCCACTGTATGGGGCGGAAACCTGAAGAACTACGAAAGTCATAATCCAGAAGATAAGTGTTTATTAACAGTTGTCTACGCAAAATACTTCAGATCCGTTGACCAGATACTATCAGCAACAACCTACTATGGGAGAGAACAAACCAGATTCTAGCGGAGGAAGAAATCAAGACGATGCGCTGGAAGCGGATAGGATACACATTGAAGAAAGCACCCAATTGAGTCACAAGGCAAGTCCTCACTTGGAATCCTCAAAGCCGAAGGAGAGGAGGAAGACCGAAAAAACACATTACTACAAGAAATGGAAACAGACATAAGATGAATGAACAACAATTGGATAGAACTAGAAAGGGATGCGGAGGACAAAGTGGGTTGGAGAATGCTAATCGGCGGTTTGAAATCACTCATACAATGTGAATAAATTGACTCAATTGCGACAAGACAGCATCACTATGTAAACCAGTTATCTGATGAAAACGTCTTACTGCCGTTACACTCCTGTACAGTCATCAGTCCAACGTCGTTCTCCTATCTTAAGTTGCTACTTTTACTCTTACCGTTCTCCAACTGACCTGCTTGAGATGAGTGGATTACAGGAACACGTAATCCACCCAATATAACTTTATCAGTTCATCACGTCAATGTAGCAGCTACATTATCGGAAATAAATGATGACAAAATGAGTTACACCATAGAAACTATATTCTGAAAACTCAATAAATTAATAATCTTCAGTATGTTTAATGTTAGCTGCATCACGCAATGTGTATGAATGCTGAATGACTAAAACCGAAATAAAGTTTTCCTGAATAGTTTTGTTTCATTAGCTAATCATTATGCTTCAAAATATATTCATGAAATGTTCCGCATTTCATATGACCTACGAAATAGATTCACTTAATAAAAATGATCAACTTTTGTATCGGCTTTAAGACTATTTTAAATATGCGGTAGAAATTTGAGGTGGGTAAAAGTAATGTGAGTATGTTAAAATGTATTATATTATTATTTTAACACATAGATATTGGTACAAAGAGGCACCAAATACATATGCGCCACACAAATCTCATTCGATATGTGTGAGGGTTGAAATACTGCCCGGGTGCCCAAACCGAAGCAGGTGGTTTTATTAGGGGGCCACACCCCGAGCCTTCGACCTGAAGGTCTGATACACAAGGCAGTGGAGCATCGTAAGGAGATGCAGTCCCATGGAAGCCGGTGACCAACAATTGGTTCATACGCCATTTGTTCCCGCACGATACTGGAGCCCATGTGCACCATTGGTTTGAAATCCGGTTAGAGCGCCGGACATTCACTTTTCATCCTCTCATTTTTGTAAACAACACCCCCGTGACGAGAAGGCAGTGAGTAGGACTTCCCTGGCAGAGGCTATATACGCGTGGCCATGTGAGAGCATTTCGAGAGGGAGAACGGACTCTCCTCACTCTCGGCCGTACCAGGGCATTTGGGGGCAATGTAATTATAACGACCCATAGGAATTAGAACTGGTACAAATATGTATCCTATCTACTAAACGAAACCGCGTAAAACCATTACTTAGAAGCAAATGACACTAAATCACTGGACGGCCGTTTCATCATATTGTGGGACTCCTCAGCAGTGCGCAACTACAATTTCACAGGTGGAGTTGTCGAAAAATCTAGAGAATGGGATTGTGTAGTTCCACTATGCCGTCTGATCGCAATTTCTTCAAGAAAACAGTTGAAATTCTTAGAAATAAACAAAGTTTAAATACTCCACTAGTCGATTGTCTAATCATATTCTGAAGATGCTTTAGTATTCTGTGTGAATTCGAGTTTGTTAGTGTAAGATCTGTTCAAAGTGTAACAACTTTTACCTGATCTATGTGTACGTGATTTGTTTCATAATTCAATGATTATATAGTGAAGATCATGTTCATCATTCCTGTAATTAGAAATTGTATGTAGTCAGGAATAAAATGAGCTTGTAACATTAAGGGTTGATTGATAAATAAATATTAATCTGTATATACATTTCTATCCCAGCCGAAATCAATAAAAAAACATACTGAATAACAAAACAGTTGAATGTGATTTAATTATATCCCTTGCCACAATGATACGCAGAATTTGTAACCAAGAGCGTTGGGAAGACCCAGGAAATTCCACGAAAAATACCTAAAGGGGCTCTAGGAACACTAGGAAACATCTTATTCAGTCAGTATTGAGTAGAAGTTTCCCAGAAATATCCAGAAAGTGAAGTCACAATTCTGATTGTATGATTGCCTATTCCGTTATGGTTGGTAGAGCTTCAGAGGCCCAAGGCCATCTGAAATACTATAAATACCCTTGATTTTCTGCACATAAACAAACCTTGAAGTAAAGCATTCTTTCCGTGTAACACTTCGCTTCTCTCATGTTCAAGCTAGCCTGGACTTATTAGATGTTATAAAATCTATACAAACGTTAAGTCAGAAGATTTGTCAATGGACACGGAGAAATCTACAATGAACTTTTCTTTTAAACAACTGGGAGTTTATATGGAGTGTCAAGAGAAAGAATCATGGAAGCTCTTGTGCAGAAAATGTGCATGTACCAGCAAAACCCAGCTTCTGGTGCACTGCAAGTAACACATATAGATTCGGTCATTAATGTCATCCATGAGTTTAACTTTGATAATGTAACAGGTGTTACATTCGACTCATGATTCAAGAAATATGAAGATCTGTTCCATATTGATCTCCGCAGACTGGATGATGCTTCAAAAGTCAAAATACGTTTAAGGAGACTTGTAACGACAGAATACGAACACTCTGATAACTTTATTCTTCCGAAGAAATCATGAGACTTGGGTTTTGATTAAACGATTAAAACCCTGTCCCAAATCTTTGGAAAACAGTCATTTCTGCTTAACATCCGTTACCAATGTATGAATATAACTAAAGAACCAGAACATGACGGAGTGTGACATTCAGGAATCGTAAACCGAGAATGAGATGTTCAAGTTTTTCTCCATGACAGAAGATCAGTTCAAATGCCTTGTATTTGTCCGTAACTTGCATTCACCCGAGATGTTGATATCCAAACAAGAATCCTAAGCAAACTTGCGTATTGTTCTAGCATTACCCTACAGGAAGTAACTACCGAATGCCAAAGGGTAGTGAATTGAAACCATGATACCTCGATGGTAGAGAATGGTAACCGGTTCCTTTGCGTCAGTGCAGTCGAGAGACGTTTTACAAGGTTCTAGCACACAGAATTATCGTAATGACAGCGACAGACCTTAATCCCTATGCTGGTTATGTGGCGGTTGGCATTTCAAAAGGTTCTGTCCTTTTAAAAATCATCGTTGCACTACGTGTTTTACAAAAGGGCACAAAGAAAGTCATTGCAAAACGCGGAAACGCCGTCAACCGAATGTGTTTTCTAAAAGATTGAAGCCATGAACATCTAAAGTAATGGTAGCTCTTAACAAAGCCGGCTCCCGTAACCGTAAAAAGCATGTTTCTCTCAACATTAATGGGTAGGATGCCTGCTTACAGTTGTAAACAGCCTCCGATACAACAGTTATAGACAAAAGAATGTGGGAGATCACGAATGTATTCAACTCACCAATCAGCACATAATGCATCCGGGAGGATGCTAAACATTGCTGGTGAGATTCATTGTGAAGTCACAGTCAAAGAGTTTACGGAGAAGGGAGTAATATTTTTGAAAGAATGTCCATCACTCGAATTATCGGGGTTTGGTTGGACAGGAAGGTTGGAGTTAATAGACCGTCTCATAAACTCGATGTGTAACGAAGTCAGTACGTCGAAATTCGAGGAGAAAAACTCGGTGGAAGCGTTTCTAAAACGACAAAATGGTATGAGGGTCTTGGAGAATGTACTAAATTTAAAGCTGCTCCTACCCTTCAACAGGGATCAAAGCCACTGTTGCGACCTAAAAGACCCGTACCATATGCTACCCTCCCAGTGACTGAACAAGAGCTTGAACGACTTCACAAAGTGGGTGTCATTGAACCGGAAAACTTCTCAAAATGGGCTGCGCCGATAGTGGTAGTAAAGAGGTTTAATGGTAGAGTCCTTTTATGTGCGGATTACTCAACCGGGCTAAATGAAGCCCTAGAAACTCATCAGTATCCATTAGCCCTAACTGAAGATCTTTTTGCTAAACTGAATGGAGGCAAGCTCTTTGCAAAGTTGGGTTTATCGGAAGCATATTTACAAATTTCTGTTGCTGATGTGTGTAAAGATCTACTCGCCATGAGTACATACAAGGGCTTGTTTCGGTTTAATGGAAAATGCTACAGGATGTTTCAGGTGCAGCAGCTCATCCGGATGACACAATAATTATGTGAGTAGATAAAATGGACTTAGATAAGGATCTCGACCTGGCGCTGTCACGAATAGCGGAATGTGGACTCCAGATCAGTGAAGAAAAATTCAACCTTTGCATGCAAAAGGTACGCTACCTTGAGTTTACAGTCGACAAAGATAGCAGTCAACCAAACCCGGGGAATACCCAGGTAGTGAAAACTATGCGTTATATAACCTTCTGGCGAAGAATATAAAATGGGATTGCTTACCCATTACAATCCATCCTTATAGTAGCATCAGACGCTCCAAACTCCGGTATTGAAGCAATTATATCCCACATCATGCCCGATGGATTTGAGAAAGCTATATCTCATGCAGCTAGATCGTTAAATACAGCAGAACTTAAATACAGTCAGATCGAAAAGGAAGCACTGTCAATTATCTTCGATGTAAAGAAGTTCCACAAAATGTTATTTGGACTCCAGTTTACGCTTTTAACTGGCAATAAGCTATTGCTGGTCACGTTTGGGTCAAAGAAAGGGATTCTGGTATAACAACAAACAGACCGCAACGATAAGAAACCATATTCTTGGGTTACGACTTCAAAATTAAGTAACAGCGCACTACTGACTTTGGACAAATTGACGTCTTGTCTGGACTGATCAGTTCTCAAGCGAAACGAGATGTTTTGGTGACAGCAATTCGAACGGAAACAGAAGTATATCGAGTGTTAGAAGACACAGTTGATGGTCTACCAGTTATTTTCAAAGCTATCAAAGAAGGTATGGAAGGTGACAAAACACTAAGAGAAGTTAGACGATACTTTCTCACCAAGTGGCCGAACCAGTGTTTCCAAGGAGAACTGCTACAATATTTTCACCGGCGGGACTCACTCATGATTTTCGATTCATTTATTATGTTCCGTAACAGAATCGCTGTTCCAAAAACATTACGCCAAAATGTTTCGAGACAATTCCATAGCGGCAATCCGGACATCAATAATATGCAATCTTTGTCTTGAAGCTATGTTTACTGACCTACAGTGGATCAAGATATTAAAACTAGATGCCTCAATTGTTCGTTGTGCCTACAAGCAGCCAAAAGTTCAAAGAAATATCAACCTAACAATCCAAAAAGCCCAATAGTCCCTGGGAGAGGCTGCATGAAGATTTCGCCGGCATAGTAGGAAGAAGTGTTTTTAATCCTAGCGGATCCTTTCACGAAATGACCTCAAATTTATGTTATGACAAATCACACAGCTAGTGAAACAATCAGCAAGTCATAAGAATGGTCTAGCTATTTCGAAGTTCCGGAGACTTTAGTGACCAACATTGGCTTACAATTCACTTCAGAATCATTCAAGCACTTTTGCAGCATTAATGGAATTACACATATACGCTTTCCACCTTATCACCCTCAATTAAATGGATAGGTAGAGCGCTTCGTTGATACATTTAAAATAGCATTACTTAACAGAGGAGACAAGTAGAGTAATTACAAGATTCTTAACAGCATATAAAACTATATCCAATAATATTGTCCCAGATGGAAAGTCCCCTGCTGACTCTATGTTCGGAAGAAGTATTCAAAAACTATATTTGACGGCATGTTGCCATGAACGCAGATAACATTAGATTATCTGAAGTTTTAATGTAGGAGATAAAGTGGTCATCAAGTTATACCTTGAAAAAAATCGGTGGGAACCTGGAGTCATTGGAAAGAGAATGAAAAAATATTTTGCACAAAGTGCGTGGGATGTTTAGAATGTGGATTAGACACATGAACTAAATCCACAGAGAAAAAAGACGTTGAACACGGTAGAAAGACGAGTAAATCTTCCACCAGAGATAATTACAGATACTCCAGTGACAGGAACTCCCAGGGACACTCATAGTCACTGGACACCAATGAAGTCCGAACACCGCCGAAAACCAGTCATTAAACTGCAAATAGACCCGGGAAGTCTTATTTTTTAGAGGAGGAAGGTGTTAGGGAAACCTAGCATAAGATCGTATCAGAAAAAATCGGTTGTTTTCTTGGTAGCTAGTTTTGAGTCATAGATTACTTTATTTCTGATTTTTAAAAAAATAATTAAACAAACGATTAAATAACAAATAAGTTTCCTTTTTATTCTCTCAGTTTTAAGTAAGGTGTTAGGAAAAAGTTATAACCGCTAGTGGAACAGTGTTAGGACGAAGGTAAAAGATTTCTACTGGAACTGAAAATGAAGTTAATAGCTGCGTCGTTTAATTTGTACCGGATCTCTCAAAAATGCATATACATAATTTCTCACATTTCACCTTGATTAAGATTACATTTCCCGATAATGACAATATTTTAATACGGAAAAACATCTCACTTTCCCTACTTATTTAGATGTGAATAAAGTTTTGTTTCACATAAAGGTAACTGCCGTAGTACAAAAACTTAAAGTTTTCGAGCAGACTGACAGAAGTAGTAGCTAGCAATGGAATTCAGGATGCGCGTTCCGTTCTATTTGGGACTCGTCAGCTGGATGTACCTGCATTTCAGAGTTAATGTTCACTCTGGGACTCGAACCCAATACCATTCGCTTCAAACATCAACTCTGAGATGCAGGTACATCCAAATGAAGAGTCCCAAACAAGACGAAACGCGCGCCCTGAATTTCACTGCTAGCCACAATCCATCTTTGTTTATAAAGCTGTGAATTAAGGCTAAATCGGGGCAATACGCACGGTATGCATGTATGCCAATAACAGACTGACCAACTGCATTCCTAAATAACATTAGGAATGGGATGGGGTCGCTAACCCCATGCCCAATCCTCTTCCTTCACTTGGGCTTGGGACTGTCAGTAGCTTTAGGAGTTCTACAAGCATCACGAGGCAAGCCCTAATATAGAATCCTGATGTGATGCGGTAATGAGGAAGGCCAAAGAGCACATTACATCGCGAAATAGCTGACATGAAATGGATGAATAACAACTTGAAAGGATTGTACAGGACACGGTTGGATGGAGAATGCTGGTGAGTGGCCTATGCTCCTCCACGAAGAGTAACAAGCGTAAGTAATTAAGTAATCTCTACACAATATGCTATGAATTATGTAATCGCATTGTTGAATAGTGATATGGTTTAATAAATGATGAATACTTATCTCTCCAAAAGTAGCAATCTCTAATGTGTCTGAAATAAAAAATATACATTAAAGAATAAAACAATTAGTTGCTAGGCTATTTTTTGTCAGTAAAAAAACATTTCTATACATAAGATTTTTAGTGGACCCGGATCTGACTCCAATTAGATCGTATGAATGTTCTTTAATGAATGATTGCTGTCGAAATATATATATATATATATATATATATATATATATATATATATATATATATATATATATATCGCCTATCCTCGTATATAATCATCGACTTAAATCGCGTTAGTGAATAACGGAATACGAAAATGAGTTTTTGAATACATATATTTCATACCATCGTTGATTCAGACAAAATATCGGAGAAGCAAGGAGAAGTGACGTGCGGTGGCGAAGGCATGTGAGCCGCAAAATAAGTACGATCAAGAATGACTTAAAAAGAGACGTAAAAAAATTAAAGACTAGTGTTTCAAGCAGACAATATGAAAACAGTATGTTTGACTCCCTTAAAAATATAATAAATCTCTGAGGAATCGAGATATTACAGAGAGTTAAAAATTATGTAACTAGATAGACTGAATAAGAATAGAATTCAATCTTTAATAGAAATCGATGTTACGGTTAGGATTTCGAAGAAGAAGAAGAAACATTGGTCTGAACATTTAATTCCATATGATTATGGGGAAGAAAACTGTAATTTTGATGGAGTTTTGTTCTTAGAGCTCCATCAAAATCATCCACTTGAGCTACAAATCTTCTCCACCATCTCGAAAACTGTAATATCACTTGAAATAGTTAATTACATATGAAGGAGATAATAATATAATCACAAAAGTTAAATGGTTAATGGTTAATACGACGGAATACAGTGCAAAGTCGTTCATGGAGGACAGTTGACAGATGCATTCCAAGTAAGGACATAAGTCAGACAAGGCTGTCTACTCTCCCCTTTCCTCTTTCTTCTGGTGGTTGACTGGATTATGAGGACTTCGACATCTGAAGGAAAACACGGAATACAATGGAGAGCTCAAAATCAATTAGACGATTTGGACTTCGCAGATGACCTAGCTCTTCTATTGCATACACACGAACAAATACAGATGAAGACAACTAGTGTAGCAGCAGCCTCTGCATCAGTAAACCTCAACATACACAAAGGAGAAAGCAACATCCTCAAATACAATACGGAAAACACTGACCCAATCACACTTGATGGTGAAACTCCGGAAGATGTGGAATCTTTCACGTATCTGGGAAGTACTACCGATGAACAAGGAGGATCGGATGCAGACGTAATGGCGAGGATTGGCAAAGCAAGGGCTGCATTTCTACAATTAAAGAACATATGGAACTCAAAACAACTTTCAACCAATATCAAAGTCAGAATCTTCAATACGAACGTCGAGACAGTCCTACTGTATGGAACTGAAACTCGGAAAACTACTACAACTATCATCAAAAAAGTACAAGAATTTATGAACAATTATCTACGCAAGATACTCAACATCCATTGGCCGGATAACATCAGCAACACCATTTTGTGACAGAGAACAAACCATCTTCCAGCTGAAGTGGAAATTAGGAAAAGAAGTTGGAAATGGATAGCACATACATTATGGCAATCACCAAACTGTATAACAAGGCAAATGCTCATTTAGAATCCTGAAGGGAAATGGAAAAGAGGCAGGCTTAAAAACACATTACGTTGAGAAATAGAAACAGATATGAAAAGGATGAATAACAACTTGAAACGATGGCCCAAGACAGGGTTGGATAAAGAATGCTGATGAGTGGTCTATGTTCCTTTACAAGAAGTAACATGCATAAGTAAGTAAGTAAGTAAGTAATAGTTAATCTTGACTCAATAATCTTTTCGATATAAAACAGTAGAACCAGATATTAAAGGCCATAAAAATATGGTTATATAACAAATTAATGTAATAATAACAAATGTAATAAATAATAATCTATCTATTATTTTAGCTATCACCTTCCATTCATATTTAATTAATTCATTTCTAACATTTTCTTGACTTTTCAAATTCAATTGATATACACTTTGGGAATGATTATTATTACTATGAATATTACAAGTAGTAAGATTTAGTATTGATGATGATGATGACGACGACGATGATGATAATGATAGATCATTTTTCAATAAACAATCTTGTTCCATAGAAGAATAAACTTTATATACTTTATGAATTTGAGAATTTATATTAGTTCTATTCAATGTTATACTTTGACTAGTTGATAATGATTTTACTTTTAATGGTATTGATAAATCTATTAAATTTCCATGATGATTAGATTCATTGACAATAATATTATGATAATAGATAGGACTAGATGAAGTTCCATTCAATGAAAATTCATCTTTAAAATAATTATGATAGATAAATTTAATTTGTTTATTTAAATTTTGATTTATAAAAAGTAATTCATTTAATTTTGTAAGTAGTTTAATTTGTGAATTAATTTTTAATAAATTTTTTTCTTGAATTGAATTTATAGTTGAAAAGTTTTCTATCTAAAAAATAAAAAGAGAAAATCAAAATGAAACTATAAATTTTATGTTCACCTAGTAACTAAGATTAAATAAGGGTTATGATAATTGTGTATAAGAAATTAGGATGTTGATTTGATAATTGATAATTAAGGTTACATTTAAAGGTTTTCATCATGAATTGATATCAGTTATAATGTCAAAACTTTATTTCAGTCACTCAGTCAGTCAGTAACAACGTAGAACTTCGTACGTACGTACATCAGTTCGAGTTGCCATACCACCTTAGCACAGAGATGCAGTGGTCGATTCAAATCCCGTAGTGCTAGATGTAGTAAAATTATAAGCAGTGATCGGGAAGATTAGGGTTTGGAGATGTTATTTAAAGAGTATAATTCAGTGAAATAAATTTGGAAAGAGGAATAAAGGGACATGAAGAATTCAGAAGATTAGAATTTGGGAGAACACAAAGAGTGGATGCACCTGCGCCATTGCAAACGATTTTGAGCTATGTCATTCAGGGTCTCTAACCATCGGTTGCTATCATCTCGCGGTCCCCAACCAGGTAGTCTATACCTATCAACATGACTCAGACCACTTGTCAGTGACTTCATGAACTTGTACCATGTTTTGGTCTGGCCGCCCCTAGCTTTCTTCCAATCTACTCCCATACCACTGAACATCGCACGTCGAGGCAGTTGGTGGTTGAGGATACGTAACACGTGTCTCAGCCATCTCAACTGATGAAGTTTCACTACGTCATCAATCGATTTGCCATCCTTACCTAGTACCCGTTTCCTAACAACTGTGTTACTTACTCGATGGTCCCATGATATACGAGCAATGTTTCGAAGACACCTATGATCGAATACTAGTAACTTACGAATATCCTCTACTCTTACCGGCCGTGTCAATACTTTATTTAGTCAAATGGATAGCTGAATTTCGCGATAAAATCCGAGACTTGATTGGCTCGTTCATTTATTTATTTAAACACATAAACATTGGTAGAAAGAGGCACCAAATACATATGCGCCACACAAATCTCATTCGATATGTGTGAGGGTTGAAATACTGCCCGGGTGCCCAAACCGAAGCAGGTGGTTTTATTAGGGGGCCACACCCCGAGCCTTCGACCTCAAGGTCTGATCCACAAGGCAGTGGAGCATCGTAAGGAGATGCAGTCCCATAGAAGCCGATGATCAACAATTGGTTCATACGCCATTTGTTCCCTCAGGATACTGGAGCCCGTGTACACCATTGGTTTGGAATCCGGTTAAAACGCCGGACATTCGCTTTTCGTCCTCTCATTTTTGTAAATAACAGTAATGCCACGAGAAGACAGTGAGTAGGACTTCCATGGCATAGATTATATACGCGTGGCCATGTGAGAGTATTTCGAGAGGGAGAGCGGACTCTCCCCACTCTCGGCCGTACCAGGGCATTTGGGGTTCGTTCATAAATTATAGTCTTAACAGAAAATGCTTTAAAATATTTCATTACAACAATTTTAATGTTGTTCATAATAATTATTATTAAATTAGTATCATAAGGGGTTTTGTGAAGATTGTAGTAATTTCAGTAGTTGAGATCATGAGTCAATCTCCACAAAACCCCTTCTGATATTAATCAACATATGCTCACTAGTGAATGGCTTCAAAATGTATATCACGAAGTTCTAGTGAGAAGTAGTGACCAGTGGAGTTCAAACGGGTCTGTTGTGAGATATTAACTCACTAATGACAATGGTGGATGTGTCGCTCCATTTCGTGGATCAGTTGAAGTTAGACATTAATATCGTTGGATGCCGGCTCAGTGGTCTAATGGTTATTCGCTCGCACACGAAATTGATAGGTTCTGGGGATCGAAACTCGCGAGCGCACTGCCGAGGAGTCCTACAATAGGAACAAATGGCCGTGCAGTGGGTTCAGGTTTTCCATTGTGGTCTAGCTTCAATTGACTCATGATCTCAACTATTTATATTATTAAATTGTTTATTATTATTTTTATTGTAATATGAGTAGTACATGTGTATCAAGTAAAAATTCTAACCTCAGATTAGTTTAATATATCTCATATTGTCAGAGGATTTATAATTTTAAATATATCTAACACAAATCAAACTTCGTGCAATGAAATGCTCTAGCTGAAATAATAAACTATTTTTATATGAATGAGGACACAGGAATGACATCATTAGATGAACCAGATAACTTATTTACAGAATAGAAGTACAGTCCCATGCAGGACTCGTCATCTGAGTATACTTCTATTATTGTGTTGATGTTTACTACGGCAATCGAACCCAGTGTCTTAAGTTTCAAATGTCAACAATTTATCTACTTAGCTACTGAGTTCCCAAAGAGACTGTCTTGTACAATGTCGTTGAAATGTAATTAAATCATGATGGTTTCAATCTTACCGTTATTCATGTTAACGACTGAATAATGATCAATCTCAACCCAAATGTACAAGTCAGTGGCCATTGAAAGTCAATAGCTAAGTGAAGAAGATGTTTGTGTTTGGAGCGAAAAACACTGGGTTCGATCACTGTAGTAAACATCAACACAAAAATACAAGTATAGTCAGCTAATGAATTTGAAATAAGAAGAAACGCGCGTCATGGGTTCGACTACTATCCAAGATCCAACTTTGATTAAAAATTGATCACTTATGTTTGACTGGCTCTTACTTCCCATTCACACCCATTGATCAAGCTACAATATAGCTCAGTACAATGAATGGCTAAACACCACAATAAATAACGATTGGTAAGAAACCGCTGGACTTATTTTCTTGTCTATTAAAATATTTCATGGCTTGAATGATGTTTTTTTCTGGTTAGCATTTGTTAGCAAGTTAGTAATATACGGGATGGGGTCGCTAAACCCATCTCCAACTCTTCTCCTTTATCCAGGTTTGGGACCGAAAGTAGCTCCAGGGGGTTTCCAGGCATTAAATTAACTGTTACATGATAATAATTTGATCACCCTTTAACTTTTCATCTATTAGCTATAAACAGATAATGTTTAGAAGGTTAGTTGTGCATCTAATTATCAAATGAAAACAACTATGACTTACTAACGATGAAACAGCTGCTGATTCATTCACATCACAATTTTCCTTGTAGAATAATTGAAATAAACTAAACTGTGTGATACGACGCAACCATTTTGGTGCACGTGATAGCTTCTCACCTTTGGCGTCCAAATTAATGACAATTACACACACAACAACTGTTCCAGTTGTTATTGACATTACTGAAGTCATATACACTCCTACACATGGGGAATAAAAGACGACAAGTTGAATATGGTTAGAAGTATATTTTTGCATAAAAATAATAGTAACGGTACAATTCCACATTTTATCTTGTAGAGCGCTGTCGGAAAAATAAGAAAAAGCAATAAGTATTTTGTCGAAGCTTCCAACAACATATCAATTCTAACTTAGGCTACTCCAAACCTCGTGTCTTATTTGACGCCACTGACGACATAATTGTCTTATGTAATTCGAAGTTCCCATGACTCATTTGGAATATTTGATAACATTATGGACCAACATTTTTTCAATTATGTATTGCTGTATACTGACTCAGCAGGAACATCTTTACGGCTTTCTGTATATGTAGCCAACAATTAAACCGCCTAGTAAAAACTACTGAATACAATTATCATAAATATATAAAACACCCTTGTGGGTCAGTGTAATTTTACATTGGTTTTCAGGAGAACCAGACATCATCCAGACTTTCACGTGACAATCCAGACAGTACAGCTCAATCCCAATTGCAGGAAAGCCAGATATCACCAAGGCTTAAATTTTATAGCCCGAGTAGTGCAGTTCAATCCCCCTTCACAGGAGAACCAGACACCATATAGACTTTAATGCTACAATCTGAATAGTATAGCTCAATCCTGTGACGCAACCACACAGGTACCAAGCACCCTGGTGGACTATTCGCACCATTCATATACACAATCAGCCTCCATCCACGTGCTGATTATGTGGCGAGTTTTGCCCTAAAAGCTACTGTTGTACTAAATGTTAGCGGAAACAAAATAAAGAATCTTGCTGTTAAAAGAAGATGTATCATCGTCCATCACGATTTCATTCCAGGAAACATAAACCCCATGTATCAACCAGCCAATTAATGGTAACTCATACATGATCAGGACATAGTCGACGGAAATATGTAACTATCGAGGTTGACGGTCAGCATGCTCGCCTGAAGCTCGACACGGTCTCTGATATCACACTTATTAGCCGAAGGACCTTGAAGCATATTAGAAAACCCCAGGTGCTCACAACAACCCAATAATAATAATGTTAATCGTTTGACTGTTAATCGAAGTAATACACTGAAAAAATTAATTGGAATAGTTAGACAGAAAATAATGTTATCCTTGTGTATTTTTTAACTTTATTAACCTTTAGATACAATAATCACTGTTTTGATTCGAAATCCGTTTCTATCGACGGGAAACTTGTCATCGTCAACAATTTTTTCGAACTTAATTTGGATGATATATATAATCTCTCTTTCTTTTGATAGTGAAATTTTATGTACGTATTTTTCTACCAGTTTTCCTGTTGTCACAATACTTGTCAACTACAGTCGGCATAACGAACACATAATGGACATAATGTTGAACACTAACACCATTGGATGCCGGCTTAGTAGTCCAGTAGGTTAAGCGTTCGCTCACCAGACTGGAGGGCCTGGGTTTGAATCCCACGAGCAGGATCGTGGATGCGCACTGCTGAGGAATCTCAAAATAGAACGAAACAGTGTTCCCAGGTTTCCAACGGTGGTCTAAAATCAATCGGTTCATGATCTCAATCAAAAACATAATAATCTCCACAACGCCTTTACTGATTTCATGTAAGAAACGTGATACTACTCTTCAGCTCAATGTCCATTAACAGCCCATTGTAACAAATGGCATTGGCGTAACCCTTTTTTTCTTAGATTACGATATTACATTTCACGACAGTGATACCATCTTATTTATTTATTCAAACACATAAACATTGGTACAAGAAGGCACCAAATATATATGCGCCACATAAATCATTCGATTTGTGTGAGTGCTGGGATACTGTCCGGGTGCCCAAACGAAAACAAGTAGTTTACTCGGGGGGCCACACCCCGAGCCTTTGACCTAAAATTCTAATTCACAAATCAGTGAAGCAATGTTAGGAGATGCAGACCCAAGTTAGTCGGTGATCAACGATTAGTTCATAAGCCACTTGTTCTTTCAGGATACTGGAGCCCATGTACACCATTGCTTTGAAATCAGGGCTTTCCAACTCCCGCAGGTCGACCCTCCATATCCACCAACCCGGTTAAAGCGCCGGACATTCGCTTTTCGTCCTTTCAATTTCTTAAACAATAGTAATGCCACGAGAAGGTAGTGAGTAGGACTTCCTCATCAGTGGTTGTATGCACGTGGCCATGTGAGAGCATTTGGAGAGGGAGTGCTGACTCTTCCCACTCTCGGCTGTACGAGGAGGCGTGAGATCATCTGATAAAATTTCTTTCAATATTAAATTCTGACATAATAGTGCCAATTTGAACATTCAATCAAAACAGTCTATGATAGATGGATTCCAACAAATCCGACTACAACAATGTACCATTTATAACTAATTACAAAATTCATACAAGTGACAAACAGTGCATTCTTTTACAATTGAGCATACATTTTGAAACAAAGTTAACCAGTCACTTATTCTTAAATATTTCTAATCATAACCTTAAAGTTTCACTAACAGGCATCGATATCACAATAACTGCGGCAATAATGTCGGACAACAGTAATAATCAGTAAGGTCATTTTTAAAACTATAAATTTTATTGGACGACAGGTGATAGTAAAATGCAACGAAAAGAATAGAAACATTTTCATTAATATGTGTAGGGTGTGTGAATCTCCAAAAACCACTATGTTACTTACATTATTTATAAAATGTCACATTTTATAACTACGTCTGGAGCACCCCTAGGTCTACTGTCAGTCCATAGCCCGGATAAAGGAGATGGGTTTGGCATGGGGTTAGCGACCCCATCCCATAGAAAATTAACTCACTGAAAAAACGCTAGCCAGAAAAAATAATCCAGACCATCTAAGCTCTGCTCCAGGAGTTAGAATGTCTTCATTTTAGAAGAGTTATAACGCCTCATGTTAAAAACTGATTTTATTCAGAAGTTACGAGGCTGGTGCTCCTTCTGACAACCAGAGCAACCATTCATTTAGGTACATGGAATGCTCGCACAATGTGAGAGATCGGGAGAGTCTTCCAAATTGCTGCAGAAATGAAGATATAAAACCTGGATTTGCTTGGAATCAGTGAAATACACACCAACGATTAGCTTCAAGGGAGCTTCTATTATACTCTGGCCATAAAGAAGAAAATGCTCCACATACACAAGGAGTTGTACTGATGCTATCCAAACAGGTACAAAAAGTACTTTATAAATTAGTACTCATGAATAAAACTGAAAAAACTAATCAATATCACTCACCTATAAGTGGAATATTTTTGGCTGTTGGCGGTACACGTTCAGCTATCAACATCATAAACATAGAAAATGCTAAAAATACTGATAAACCTAAAGTAACTTTTTCACCTGAATCAATTGGTGTCCAAAATGTGATTAATGTAAGCAATGTTAATAGTATACATGGTACGACAATATTCCAAATGTAGAAAAAACTTCTTCTTTGTAAGAATAGTTTTAATACTAAGTCTGTTTGTATAGTGTCCAATTTATTATCATGAAACTGAATATTTATTATACTTGTGGTTGGTTTCCAGACAGTCAATGTATCAGTAGATCGATGAGTATAGGATAATATAGCATGTTTCAGCATCCAATCTGTACTATCCCAATAAGATGATGTATCCAATGCATTTCTAGTCAGATAATCTTCCTCAATATTACTATTATCATTGTCAATGTCATCTTGTCCTGTTTCGTCATGATCTCTTCTTTCTGTACTTAAATGTCGATTTGAGTTATTTGAAAATAATGATATTAAAGGAGATGATAATTTTGTAGAGTATTTCCAATTTTTCATTGTTGTTGATTTATTATGTTGATCTGTTTGAAATTTATATTTAATCCAATCAGATGTATACATCCATGATCCAAATTGTATTTCACAATTTTGATGATCAAATGGAAATAATGTAATATCGACTTTACATGATGTTTTTAATTGAACTGGAATTGGCCATGATACTTTACCAGAACTATGAATTAAAACATAGACACCTTCTAGAAAACCAGAATTTGTATGATCAGCACTGTAATAAAAAGATAAATTATAATTTGATAAGTACACTTGATTATTGATGGAGTTTTGTTCTCTGAGCTGGATGGTTTGGTGTTGATGATGTCGTTTAAAAGAACAATGAAAGCTCCACGACAGAACCATCCAGCTCAGAGAACAAAACTCCATCAAATCCATCCACCTGAGCTACAAATCTTCTCCACACTTTGTTAATAGAGTCAACAGTTATTCGATTGGTCAATATTTTAAAGCTTGCTACATGATTATATATATATTTAAAGCTGCTTAGAACCTTCTCAGCAAATTTATGTTAGAACTTAATAATTAGTCTAAGATTTCACTTTAAACCAAAGAGGTCTCACTACTAGAGATTGAAGATGCCACATGTATTTATAGTTTGATAACACTTCAACTAGTAACAGATTCTATAAATGAATTGTGCCCACTCAGTGAAATCAAAAGCCAGAAGCGATGAAGTTTGAAGTTATATTTGATAGGCCATCAGTATATCGAGAAGCGACTGATCTAAACTGGCTAGCGATTGCATGGGAAGTTGAGCACGGCATACTCACTTATGATCTCATGCGAATAGATCACTGAGCGCCTTCACCTAGGTGAGTCCATTGAAACTATTGTGATTAACAAACAATCAAACTCCAACCTTTTGAAATTTGCCGAAGCAATAGCAATCAAACGTCTAAAACCAGATCTATGTATCCAAAAAGAGACAGTAATAAATCTTTCTTTACCCTGGTAACAATAACCCTCTTTTTTACTCATTTATTTCTCTATTTATTTGTTGCGTCATTACTCCAACTCTTTTAAATTACATCATACATAACTGACTGATTTCAATTCATATTTTCATTATTACCATTAATCTATTTTCATGAGTTCTAATTACTATTTCAATGTTCCGGAAATTTCCCTCTCAAACTCTGTTTATTAGAGACAAAAATTTTGTGACCTCAATAACTCTATCGGAATCTTCGCTACACCATGGTACATTTATTCATCTTTCATTACCCTTGATTGTATAAATATGTCAATATCTGTAATACTTTCGAATTTCAAATAATTTAGGTTGTAAGCAGCTGATGAGAACCTAACGAAATAGAATGAATTCATATTATTCTGTACCAATCTTTGTTCTTGCTCTCTTTAATGAAACTATTGTGGTCAGCATCCAATATCGAAGACTTACAGAGCTATTGATGACTTATTTACCGCTACAAGATCATGAGTGTTTCTATACCCTATTTATTCATACAGCAAGAAGGCTGATTTCTGTGAATAAATTCAAAAATGAAAAGACATTTCAATACATCCAATGAAGTTTTATTGTTATGAAATAGCAATTAAGCTCAGAATTTAGTTTCAATCAACTATATTGTCCAAGTATGACAAATAGTCAATATATATGTTTTCTTTTTCCTTAGTAATTTTCAATAAGGACTTCATTTAAAGCAATAATAACTCATATGTTTACTTTCAGAGGATAAAAAGACATAATCAACAAGGACAGCAGTGAATGCCGTTCAACTAGTGGTCATCGGCGATTGACTCCCGATCGTTACCCCTTGCCGCACATTTACGATTTGAGAGCTACCATGGAATATGCAACATCTTTTTCTAACTCGATCAGGTTAAAGCGTATAACCAAGTTTTATGGCGGCAGACGACATCATTGTAGTCGTTATCATCGCCGAACAATACAAGTGTTTGCATATGCCTTTCGGTTTACGAAATCCTGTACAAACTTCCCACAGATTCATCAACGACGTCTTTCGAGGTCGAAGGTTGGTACACGCAACTCATGCTTAATTTCAGAAGATTAAAAGATATGTCAACAAGTAATTTTAATATTAAACCATAAGTCAGATTATAACCAAAGTGGGGTTTCGTGGATATTATAGTGGTTTAATAGTTTAGCTCATGAGTCAATTGAAGTTAGACCACCATGGAAAACCTGGAAGCAGTGGAAGATCGTTTCGTCCTGGTATGCGACTCCTTAGAAGTGTGCATGACCATAAGTCATTTATCAGTTTAGTGATTAATAAATATTTTTTGTTCAGAATTACAGAATATATGAACCAAGTCCCATTAATGAAATGTACAAACTGACATGTAAGTACATTTAATTGATAAACTCATGGTTTTGAAAAACAAAACAAAAAAATATGGAATTCTACTAAGTCATGAGTCATTCGATTGGTGTGAAGGCTGGAATACTGTCCAGGTGTCCAAATCGAAACAGCTGGTTATTTTAAGGGATCACATCCGGAGCCTTTGATCTAAAGGTCTAATTCACAAGTCAGTGGAGCAAAGTCAGGAGGTGCAGTTCCATGAAATCAGGTAAACAAATTCTAGGAACGTAGCGTTCAGTAAAGACAGACATTAACTGAAAACTCACTGAAAGTTTTCCCTATGTGTATTATTTATTTACTATGAAAAATAATATATAGAAAATTTGCCTACTTATTAAATACATAAGTATCTGGAGTCCATACTTGCTCAGCTGGTACACGCAAAGTTCTTACATTTCCGAATTCCGGTTCATTCCATTTTAAATACTCATCTTCCCATATCTATAAACAAATATAAATAATAATGTTATAGATTAGATCAGTTAACATTCCAAAACATTATGCACACTATAAGAACTGTGGCTATAACAGGCCATGTTCTAGAGATTCTAAAAACAACATGATATACAACTGCCATCATGGTTTTGTCGACAACCTCTTCCCACCTATCCTGTAAATCCAGTAGTAAATGTGACACAACTATTTCTACATTAGCTGTATAGTTTACATCGGACACACATCCCACTTGTCTCAATGTTATATGCGTTAAGTAACTTGGTTGTGAAGACAGCCATGTCATCTACTGAGCACCAAACAGATTTAAGATTAAGCCAATTTACACTTAGTTTACGGGTAATCAGACGTTCCCTTTAAGGTATATCATGCAGAATCTATATCACTCTGTCATAATCCAAACTGCAAGACAAGGAGATGCAAGTCTCAATGACTGTCCTGGCTTATCCTTTACAGTAGTATTGTGGTGTATGTTGCTTATGTCGACATATATTAGAAGTATGTAACACCAATCCGAAGTGAAAAACCTGGTAGCAGAAGGCTAAGAAGATCGAGTTGAAGAGAACAGAAGCGAAAATCGAAAGGAATAATGAACTGGAAAAATAATACAGAATGTGAAGGATAAATTATGGGAATTCGCGAATGAAGTATTCAGCGTATGGTTTTCATATTTTAACAAAATATTCTGTAAATTTGGATTAAAGTACATTAATTGTCCCCATCTGTGTTCTCGTTGATTAAAGTAAAGCAAATATAATTACTGTTGACTATCATTGGACAATTTACTTACTATGAAGCTAGTAACCTGCCTAACAAAATGGTGTTACTGAACAGGCTGTCCATTAAAGTGCTTAATATCAATTTAGGGTAAGTCGACATTATTAATAATAAAAGACAACGTATTCTTGTCCTCATGAGCCCACTTTCCTTTCGGAATTCTGAGTGCTTCTCCCAAATCAACGTTACAACCAGTATTATCCTGTAAATAACCTAAGTACATGCTAGGATATTCGTTTCAAATGCCCATATGCTGTAGGCGTCCTCGCTACGGACTTTCTGCAAAGTTATATGTGTAATATTTTTGATTAGAAGTTATTTTTAATCCTTTTAAACTGATGAGTTTGTTCTGTCATGGACAAGGGCATGATTAGAGTCTAGATAGGTACTCCAAAAGGAGCAGTAGTTCTGCACAAATTCACACCAACGATAGCTGATCGCAATGGGATCAATCTGAGTCCAGACTTGAGATGCAGAAGGAGGACGCCAAATTGCACATCGGCGATGACTATGCCAGTAGTTAACGCTAGCCGGAAATAGGTTGTGGTCTGCGCACAGTTGCAGTAGATGGTCACCGTTATCTGACCTGCGACCAACAAGTCCCCATCGGCCAACTAAACGACTCTCTTCCGTCCCTAGACACCTCATCTGTGCCTTCAAGTTTCCCATTGGTACTACAATATCTGTCGGATGTATTTTCTGTAGAACAACACTCAAAAGGTGGTAGGACTTATCCTTGATCGCATTCGGATTGCAATATATCGGAGCGTAGGCAGAGATGACGAAAGCACATCATTTCTCATACTGATTTCTGTTCACTTTGATAGAGCTTTCTAATTTAATAGGACATAACCGACTGTCAATGGGAATCCAATCATTCAGTGCTGCCTCAGATCTAGAGCTTAGTGAGACACCAACGCCAGCAAGACCAGACGAAGATCCCATAGGGCCCCCAGATAAACGCACGTGAAGCAAGCTCTTCGAAGTGACAGATGGAAAGTGAACTTGTAGTACTTCACCAGAGTCTTGAATAAGGGTCTTGGATAGATATCAGGACAGATATTAAAACTTTCTAAAGACAGTCAACCCTATATGTTGCCCGATCTGATTTAGTGTGCGAACGTTGAAGGAGACTGGTTTGAATTACATACATGGTTTCAGAAAGACTGTTTCAGTATTCGTAGTCGGTGGTAGAACAGATACTCACCACAGGCGAGCTGTTGTATAAATTGAAATGTAAGAATACACAAATTGAGAATAGAAGAGAGTAGATAAGTGATGTAGTATATTAGAAAATGAAAATGAATGCTATCAAATGACTGTGAATGTAATTTGTCTGAATGCTAATTGAAGCAAGAATAATATTTCTAGTAGTGATTTTCATTAATTTGATTTGTGTGTAAGTTGGAATAGTGTCTAGGTGCCCAGACCGTAGCAGGTGGTTTTCCAAGGGTCCACACTCCATTTGTTCCCTTGAGATACTGAAGCCAGTGTACGTCGTTGGTTTATAATCAGGGTTTTCCAACTCATCTAAGCCGTAACTCTTTTAGTTGCCCGGGATCTGACTCCAATCGCACCGTATAAATATCATGGAAGTACACATATCGTCTATTCTCATATATAATCATCGATTTAATCCGCGTCAATGAATAAAGGAATTAAATAAGCCGAATACGAAAATGAATTTTGAGTATGTATATTTCGTGCACTCATTGGTATAGGCAGGCAATTAGAGGGACGAAGCAAAGTAAGTGGAAAGAAGAGAGTGAAGCGAAGTGACGCATGGTAAAGATGGCATATGAGCCAATTCCATTTAACCAGGCGTTAATTAATATTTATAGTTACACAAAAATAAGCTACAGACATGTGATAAGTGGGATAAGAAGGGCACACACACACATACACTTACATAAAAACAGTCAGGATTGATAAGCGAATAATTAACAAGGTCAAAATGTGAATCAAGAAGAACGGATACGTTGGACTGTCCAGAAGCTATATTATGGGGTTAACACAGTAACTGACACTACACTCCCATAAACTTCCAAAGCAGAGTTTAACCGGTCTAATTGGTTGACGCTGATTAGGGATGCTAATCCTTTTCTCAAACCTCCTACTTTTACTAGGCCTAAATCTGTTAGTTGCTTCAGAGGAGCTCCGGGTGGTTTTACTTCAAAAGTCTATTGTATTAAAAAAGTAAGGAGAATGGTCACTTGCTGTTATGCCCCGATAAGCATAATGAATGGTAACTTTTGGGATCCATTTATGGACCAGTACTATGCGTATATTCTTATCATATAATTGTTAAATACCTAAACTATTCATATTCATGTGCCTCTTATTATGAGCCTAATTTTGATCTATGAACTATTATTATACAATTTACCATGCTTGAATTATGCCCTGTCTATTAATCATTACCTCCACATTCACAGCCACATTTGGCCAAATTTTGTACAAATGTTATTTTCTGTTTTACGGTACGATGTGATATGTCTGGTTGGTATATAAACCCAGTGTGTTTGAAATACATGACTCATATCGCAGAGGCTGAGATTGGTGTTCTGGACTTAACTGGCTGGTTTAGGCAGGAAGCAGCACGAATAAGAACTCTAGACTGCTCCGCACGCGTTTTAGGCGTCATTGGTCCGAACGATTATTCACTGCTCTCTAATTGGTGGTGTCATTACGTTATACATTAACAGGGCACACAGGTAACAAGTTATAACAACTTACCTGCTCAAGGAATAGTATAGTTGTCAACACTTGATTGCGCTCATCCAAACCACTGATTTGTTGTAAGCGTATACGTATCTTCACTGTTAACTTTTCGGATATGTTTTTCAACGGTCTTACAGATGGCTCATAATTGTTCATGATATATCTGTAAACTTGTTGTTCATGTGGAATCAAAACATTATTGTGATTAACAGGAATAGGTTGATCATTTTTATGGTGAGCTGAAACACAACAACATTTCAAATAATTAACAACTCGAAATTACTTGACATTTTACGGATCATCTGAAGAGAATCTGTAAAGCAAACCTAATTAGCAGCAGAATTCAAATGAAGTGCTCATCATCTAGTTTTACGCATTAGCTTTTCTGCATTTGAAACGAATTCAATTCGATGATTAAACGACAAGAAATATCTGCACTCTGCAAACTCGAAGCAATTAGAAGACTTTTCACAATGTAATATTCAGAACTAACTAACTGATCAGGAACTAGACTGATTCAAAATTTAATTTGTAAACTATTTAGAAGGAATACGAAGTGAGCTTCACATAAAACTAATCACTTTTATGAGTAAGTCACATGTTTTGAATTCAGTTTGACTGTCGTGTAAGCGGAATAGGTCAACTTCAGCCTGTTCGTGCTGTGCATAATTGATTCACGTGATCATTGATCGGAATAATTATACATGTGACGTGAACGTGTTATATCTAGAGCTTATGTTCAACTGTGCCAAGTTTGCGTAGCAATACTCTGACCTTTGTAGCACCATCAAATTTCTCTAGGTTGACGATTCTAGCAGAAAGTACACTCATTTATATATTGATTGTACACACACACACACACTTTGATTAATAATTAGGATGAAATGACATATATGAAAAATACTTAGTTATAACAAATCACATACGGAGCATAGTTCATGTCAATTGAATATAAGAATATCGTTTATTAGACAGAATGAAATATCATACCGGGAAAACAAAACAAATACTACATTGCACAGATTGAAATCATGAGTCAGTTAGAGTTAGATCACCATGGAAAACCTGGAACCACTGGACGGCCGTTTCGTCCTAATATGGGACTCCTTAGCAGTGCGTATCCACGAACCCGCACCCTTCTACATTGAGTAATCATTGCATTGAATCAAAACGGAAATAATATTGAATAAAACTCATAATGATTAAATCAATCGATTTTTGACTTTTCTTACCATCATATAAATATGAAGACAAGAGAAAGTAAACAGCTAAGAAATTTCGCATATAACTTTCATAGTTCACTCATTCAGTGATCAACTTCATAAATAATCCATTGAGTAGAAAGAACATCATGTTTTTGTTGTTATTATGGAGTACACAAATAAAACAAGTAATGGATATGAAATAATCCATAAATTTCATCATCACTGAGTGATCTATTTCCAAGTTAGTCAACTTGAAATATATGATCTCTTATTTGAGTTACTAATGAAATTTTACTAGAAGTAACTTACTATTGATAATTTGTGTTGATACTTGGACTGTAGATTTCAGTGTTTCATGAGTCACTACACATAAACTCACAGAAACTGGTTTCAGCTCAGGACATTTAGGTTTTGTAGTTTGTGAGGAATCTCATATTCACTGGGTAAGAATCTAATGTTGTAAACGTTTTACATTTAATTATTTTGTAATACATCCCACCCAATTCCAAAGTTGAGCCTACTCTTCACAACCAACTTCACCATTTCATAGTTATATATAAGATAGCCTCGTGGGCCAGGGCAATTTTACATTGGTTTTCAGGAGAACCGGACATCATTCAGGTTTAAGTTTTATAAACCGAAAAGTACAGCTCAATCCCGCTTCACAGGAGAACCAGACACCGTATAGGCTTTAACGCTACAATCTGAATAGTACAGCTCAAACCTGTGGAGCAACCACACAGGTACCAAGCACCCTGGTGGACCATTCGCACCATTCATATACACATTCACATCACATGTATAGTTATTCCGATCAATGATCACGTGAATCAATTATGCACAGCACGAACAGGCCAAAGTTGACCTATTCCGCTTACACGACAGTCAAATTCAATAATGTTAGCAATGGCGAAACGCATCACAATGTCCCAATGACAATGGCCCTCGAAAACACTGAAAAGCAACCACCAGTATGAATCAGTTAACCAGCGAACCAATTTTGTGCATGAACAGGCAGCAAAACATGCCAAGGCAATGCCGAACCATCCACAATATCAATAACAAACTTCCAGTCGTATATGAGACATTCAGCTCTACATAGCCATATAGCTTATATTGCATACAACACATATGTAGAGTAGTAAGCGAAATAGCCCATCCTGAAGTGATAGGGCTTAAATATGCTTAAATCGTATTGTCTGGTGTCGGGATACAATAACTAGACCACCAAGATCATTTTTATCGCATTTGCGAAATTTTCATTTTTTCGACTTTTCAGACCCTGAGTTAGGGGTAGTATCCCTAACTTTAGCATATTTACTGCAATATAAGATCTATTACTTCCGTTTGCTCCTGAAGTGTGACTTTGAAAACTCTACATTGGTTTCGAAAAAACCAACAGATCAAGTTTGCTTTGTTAAAAAGAAAAACGTTCGATGGAACCAACTTGGAAAGATTGCATGGCCGTTTCGCCCTAGTATGTGTCTAGCTAAAATCAATTTGTGATTACAGCTGTGAAAATTCAACAATCCACAATTCCCCCTATAGTTATAGTAATTAAGTGTTTTATACTGGCTGAAAATTGTGAAGCGCATCTTATGAATTTATAGTTTGATCATAATCAAGTGATATAACTGACCAACCCAAGTGATTATAACTTATACTTACCCATACTCGAATTCATCAATATTGATTCAAACCTCTACAAATATATGTTTCATTCAAGAGTTTTGGTGCAGCATCTATGGCAAAATCTCAATTACATATCATGGTAATCATTAAAGGGATCAGGACCGGAAGCTTAATTTTATTTGAGCCCCATAATCTCAATCTATTTAGTATAACTTGACAATCTTCTGGTAATGGTAGTCATTTACTTTGTGATGAGTTTGGTGTAAATGAATGGTGTTTGATTGTTAAACCTAAATAAATAAATTTCTGTATATTGTCACATATAGTTCTCTAACTTTAAGTATTTACCGTAGTATATTATGATTTTTCCTAATGTTCAGTCCATTATTTATCGGATATTTGAATGAGACCATATAACGTAGTCAGGTACCTAATGTCTAGTGGGTAGTCAATAATAGACTTTACAAAGCTATGATTAACTTTAATCGTTGCAATAAAACTAATTTTAGGCAATCTAATCAATGAATTAGTGTACACACATTATCCTATTTACACAGTTCACGAGTTACATTTCAATGACCTGTTTTCATCGAGTTATGAATATTTTTAAAATTGAATATATACTACTTATAAATTAAAAAGTAGCTTGTTGATAATTAGTATTTGAGGCGGAATTGATCGACTGTATTTGAAAATGAATAACATTCTGAAATAGATGCTTTGCATAGCAATTTATACGACTTATCAAAAAATAAATATTAGCAGTAAAGCCACTAATACCAATAAGATGTAAATTCACATTCATCCTTTATAATGTAAAACATAATGATTTCACTAAAGTCATTAATAGAGTACTTATCTTCAGATTCAATCTAAACCTTCAGTAACAAATTTTAAGAGAATATATCAAGTCACCATGTATCCGAAGGATAAAGATATCGGATTGCAGAAAATAAATTCGTTCAGGTTATAATCACCACCTCGATTGTAGAATGCTTAACTTTAATTATTCTGGAGAACTGATTGGTCCTGGGTTCGAATCCAACGAGGCGGTATCGTGGATGCGCACTGCTGAGGAGTCTCACAATAGGATGAAACGGCCGTCCAATGCTTCTAGGTTTTCCATGGTGGTCTAGCTTCAATCGACTCATGATCTCAACTGTTGAAAAGATTGACGACTGTTGAACAGTTATTTGAACCTAAATAGCCAATAAGCACAAGTTGATGTTTATCCTTATAAGAACATCAGTTACTAATTACTAATAGGATTAGTTATAAGGTCATCTAAATCTGACTATTACATTCAAACCATAAAGTATCCATAGCCAAATTCTCAGGATTCTTGTTCAAACTAAAATCATGTACACTCAAGTTGAAATTTAGACTTCACTATGTACAACAAAGTAATGAAAGACTGTGTGCAAAATTGCATTTCAAATGTAGGTTTACAAATTCAGTCCTAAGCTAGCCTGTTATTTATCCTTACTTTCTTAGTCCACTTTTCATTTTAATGTTTCTATTTTTTTGTGGTTATTGTTTGCTAAACATATAACAGTAAGAGCACAGTAGAGAGGAGCCGGTTAAAATTATGAATATGTAGTGTCAGTTACTATGTTAAGCCCATATACCTTATTCCAGCTTTCGGACATCCCATTCTATTCATTCTGCTTGAGTCATATTTTGACCTTGTCAATTATTTGCTTATCCGTCTTGATTGTTTTTATATGAGCGTATATGTGTGCACACTTCATATCCCATGACTCACCACATGTCTGTAGTTTATTTTGTCTGCCTATAAATATTGAGTAACGCTTGACTAAAAATGAGTTGGCTTACCAGCCATCTCCACTGCGCATCATTTTTACTTGGCTTCACCGTGTGCTTGCTTGCTGTACGCTTGCAGATTTTTATTAATCATCAATGATAAATTATCTCTACAACTGGTATTCAGGCTTCTGAATAACCTCGAGTACATCCGTAATTCTGCTAGGAGATTAAGCCTACCTTAAATACTCAGTATACAGGATATTATTTATTGGAGTCAAATATTGAGGACATTAGCCTCAACAAATACCATTGGTAGGCACATTTCGTACAATGAACAGTGAAAATACTTTATTCAATGGTTGAGATCATGATTCAATTGAAGCTAGACTACCATGGAAAACCTGATATTACTGGACGGCCGTTTCGTTCTATTGTGGAACTCTTTAACAGTGCACCTCCACAATCTCGCCTCGCAGGATTCGAACCCAGGACCTATCAGTCTAACTTTAACTGATTCATGATCTCAACCATTGAGAATACTATAATATTCACAAAAACCCTTGTGAAAATACTTCTGGTTAGTACTGAAAGTATTTAAAATGATGACGAAAATCTATTTTTACCACCGTAAAAGCAAAATGTTAACAGTTTAAAAATCTCCATAGACTATTCAAAATTGAAGAATATTTGAGCGAACAATTGTTTTCAATAACTTCATCATCAGGCTCTACAATTATAAGTCCATAATCATAATACTTTAGAAAGGCCAAGACTAAGGCATGGCATTAATGAATTTGACAATGTTATGTGTTAAAAATGGTGCACGTTTGCATCTGCTACGATATATATATACTCAGAAAGTGTATTAATTGCAAATTAGAAAGGTCATTCAATGAAGTTGAGAATGATTTGGAGTAAGGTGTCCAGTCACAATAAGTAGAATAGTATTATAGCAAAAATGAAAATGCAAAAAAATTGTGTGAATAAAATGCATAGTAGGCGAATTTCATCTTGTCAATTGAGATAATAAAAATAAGATTGTTGTGTGAATATAATATGTAATAAGGGGGAGGGTGTTGTCAAGGTAATTACGATGAACGAAATGGGAGTGGTGGATGTGAAGATTAAGATAGATATAAACAAAAATTAGATAACCATTTTCTAAAACAACATCAATACATCACTGAGCATACCTATAATGCACTCAAGCCTTCGGGAACACAGACCCCTCGACTATATAGTCTATCTAAGATTCATAAACTTGATGTTCCTTTACGCCTGATATGGGATATAGCAAACTCACCATACCATTCAACAGCAAAATAGTTAGTTAAATTATTAGAACCATTGCACCAAGAACTGGTCAAGCATAGTGTTAAAGATGTCTTTGAATTTGTGAATACAATTAAAAATATGAATATAAATGGCAAGCCATGTTATCACTAGACAAAACATCTTTGTTCACTAACATCCCTCTGACTGAAACTATCGATTACATATGTGAACAATTGCTAGAAAAGAAAATAGAGATACCGATCCCAGTAAGTAAAACGAAAGAACTTTTGTTGAAATGCACTATGAATATCTACTTTAAGTTTAACAATGAATTTTTCAGACAAGTAGATGGAGTAGCAATGGGATCACATCTAATCCCGATCATTGCTAATATTTTTCTGGAAAATGGACCGCTTAAAGACATCCTAAGTAAGCTTGATTATTACTATCGATACGTAGATGGCACACTAATCATATGTGACGAAAATCTCGATAAACAGATGTTGGACTCTTTCAATATTGTCCACCCAACCATTAAATTCACCAGCGAGGAGGAGAAAGACAATAGTATAGCTTTTCTGGATGTCCTACTTTTTAGAAGGATAGACGATTCCATAAAGCGAAATATATTTAAAAAGAGTACATGGAAAGGTCAGTATACCAATTTCCAAAGCTTCACACCTCTTCAATATAAAATAAATTTGGTTAAATGTCTCAACCACTAAATCAAGTTATTATGTTCTGAAAATAGTGTGGATGGCGAAATAGATATACTAAAGAACACACTACGAAATAATGGCTATCTGGATAGTTTCGTTAAAAAAATACCTCGTAGAAAGTACTAAAAAAAAGAAGAAATTGTGACACAGTCAGTAAAAAGACCTTATATCTGCGACTAGACTTTAAAGGGGACATAGCGGGTGATATTTTAACACATCGACTCAAAAGATCTGTCGAAAGGACGTTTCACGCCGCCAAGCTACAGATAATTTTCTCAACTAAACCAGTACTCACACAACTAATCAAGGATAGGTTACCGAAGATGGACTCTTCCATGTGTGTATACCAATTCAACTGCTCATGTGGAGCTAGTTACATAGGCCGTACTCAGATGGCTTTATCCCTGCGTGTTCGTGAACATGTACCAGCATGGTTGAGAAAAAGGAGTTACCAAATCAATTAACAGCACCATTCCTTCTCACTTGGTAGATAGTGAACATCGTATCAAAATAGAGGAAGCTTTCTCTGTTTTATATCAAGTTCCAAAATATCTACCTCAAGGAGCTAGATTACGATTGTTTTACATAGCCGAAGCCATCTGGATCAACTCCAGAAGACCAAATTTATATATCCAGAAAAAATATATCCAGCCTCTTTGTTTACCTTGGCCTACGACTAAATCACCGAATACCTGGACTGAATATTATAAACTTCTTACCCCCTTCCTTTATTTTTGGCCTTTGTAAAATATTATAATTATGGACTTATAATTGTAGAGCCTGATGATAAAGTTATTGACAACAATTGTTCGCTCAAAATGTTGCAAATACTCAATTTTTTATCCACAGTTTGTAGATATTTTGTATAGGCTAAAGGAAATATTGATTGGTTATTTTCCTAAAAGCATTGGTAAATAGCTTAACAGATATTTGATATATCACATATATTCCCTGTCTCAATTGTTGATTGTTGGCTAATATACAATATACACATGTTCTTGATTTGAGTTTTGTTGAAACTTGGTAGAATATTAATGGGTAGGTATCTAGTATAGAGCAACTGAATCATATATGCAGAAAAATCGTTCATTGTTCATCCTAAGCAATCTTGTGTAGTATTGGTGCAAAGGAAAAATACAAGCGTTATTTCAATATAACGAGGAAATCGTTATTATACCTAAATCCTAACCTTAAACCCTTAATCTTCAAAAAAAATTTAGCGAAGTGCCACTATACTATTTAAAAGAAATAATCAAATAATGCCTCTTGAATCTTCTCGTTTAACTCATACATTCAAATGGCTATAAAGCGCTTGTGTATTATAATTGATGTTAGTTTGTGATGGACATCCTGATGGTTTACCCCCAATACTGACCTAAAATACCCAACCCTAACGAAAAATAGTATATGGACGCTTAAAAGAATATTTGACACCTTATAAGTGTTCTTCAGTTAACAGACAGAAGAACCTGTTGAAAACTTTTACAGATCACCAAATATGCAGCATTTTTTAAAAACCTCGTCAAATTATTTCTTTAAAAGAAATTAACCATTTATCAAAACTGTCTTCTGATCAGTTAAGAATTGGTTAAAAATCCATCACAGTTGTTTTCGGAACATTCCTAAATTACACTTCACTAGTTTATGAACTTGATAGGGGACCATAATTGACCCATTCAGTGAGCTACAACGTAGGACCAGGCACATATGTGCATCGGTCCTAGTTGCCATACCTCATGAACACAACAAGATGGACACCGGATTGATAAAAGTAGTTAATTCAGAGGTAGTAATATATAAAAGAAAGATTGTGTATAAAGATATCGTACAGGGAGGAAGAATTAGTTCGTAAAAAGAAAGATATGAAGCGATTTTAATCTCTTAGTTTAAGGGAAGACAGAGAGTATATACACCGACGCCATTGTGATCGATTCTGAGCTACGTCACACACAGTCTCCAATCATTGATTATGATAGTCACGCGGACCCCAACCAAGTAGTCTGTATCAACCATCATGGCTCAAACTAGAAGTTAATGACTTCAAGCACTGATGCCACGTTTTGATTTGACCCCCTCTAACTTTCTTCCACCCATCCCCAACACTAGTCAGAATTGCACGTCGTGGTAATCGGTGTTCAGGCATACGTAACACGTGGCCCATCCATCTCAGTCGATGAAGATTCACAACCTAATCAATTGATTTGCCACCATTCCCTAATACCCTGTGTCTAACCTCACTATAACTTACCTGGTGATCCCATGAGATGCGAGCAATATTTCAAGGACATTTGTGGTCAAATACTAGTAGCTCACGAGTATCTTCTACTCTTAATGGGCATGTTTCGCAGCGGTAAATAGAACAGAACGAATTGCTTCACAGTATACTCGTCCCTAAATTGATAAACTGATATCTGACCTTCGCCATAGTTGACAAAGCTAGACAAGTTTTTCGAATCCAGATATATATTTGTTTAAGTCATATCAAATATCATATAGAAATTAAGTAAAATAAATATAAATAATAATGAAAATTTTCGATTATTATATTTGTCTGTCATAGATCCCAAGCTGCCAATTTTGGGGAAGCCGCTATAGTAAATTTTGGGGAAATGGCACAAAACCCCAAAATATACCCAAAGTTGGGAGCTTGGGATAAGGATAAGATCAAATGAATAGTGTATAATAATAACAAATAAACATGAATGTAATTTCAATGCTGCTTACTAGTTTGTTGATAAGTCAATACAAAATTTATAAATAGTATTATCCAATATTCAATAAAGAAATATGAACACATTGATAACATATCATACATTTATGATATGTTGGAAGTACTTTTATACTTCTCAAAAGATTCTAATACTATAATATAAACTATAACCAATCAAATCATAAAATCTACTTCTTTTTCTCCTCAAAAACCAATCAAAGAACGATAATTTATTTATTGTATATATGAACCAATCAAAACTATCCAGTATAATGCTGAAGGTCATTTGTTTGAATATTTTTCTATATTCGATTGAAAGAGAGATAATCTAATTTTGCATTCATGTTTTATTGAGAAATATGTAAATGAAATGTTACTATGGAAAAAAAAACTTTAGCGAGATTATAATTTATAGACAAACCAAACAGATATAAGATAACAGGTCTTGTATTTTGATGTGAAATTCAGTCATCCATTTGGTTAAATAGAGTTTTGGTATTATAGCTTATATCAGTTCGTGGTGAAAACCCTAAATGTAATTCCTAACCGTAATCATCATATGTAAATCATCGCTATAGTTGCTCAGACACGTTTATAACCCTCATTTGATTCTAGTTATTAGGTGGACACTCTCAAGGTATGTCTGACGTCGCTCAAAGGTCGTTCATAAATTAGATTCTCATCAAAACTTTATTAATTTGATTAAATATTCGGCGAGACCCTAATTTAGCGACGAGCCAATCATAAGCGTTTGAGCAATTTCAAGGTCACACGGCCAAGTTCGGCACGCGATGCTAACATACGATCTATTCACAGCGGATTTTAGAGCTGAGGTGATTAATGAGAGGTTACAACAGATGGGACGGCGAGGCTCTAATTTAGGGACGAGCCAATCAGAAGCGTTTGAGCAATTTCAATTATTAGCCAATCAGAAGACAATATAAAGTAAAAATATATTACAAGAAAGTAATAAATTACAGTGGATATTCTTCTTTTACCTGATTTAAAAACTTGTTAAGGTTTGATAAAGGCTCAGAAGTTTTGAATTCATAATGCATATGGTATAGAAACTCGTCCATAGGTTTAGGGTTAGAGGCTAGCCCAATCTGCCAGCTTTGGGGAAATTTTGGGGAATTTTGGGGAAATTTTGGGGAAATCCCCAAAGTGAAATAGCCTTCCCCAAAGTTTGGGGAAATTTTGGGGAATTTTGGGGGAATTTTGGGGAAATTTTGGGGAAATCCCCAAAGTTAAAAACCTTCCCCAATGTTTGGGGAAATTTTGGGGAAATCCCCAAAATGAAATATTTTTCCCCAAAGTTTGGGGAAATTTAGGGGAAATCCCCAAAATTTTCGTAGCGCATTTTTGCACACTAACATTTCGTCCAGATAATATAATTAAGACTCACAGTAGTAAATTTGAATAGAAAAATTCACATTTCAATTCAATACAGTCTTTTGATGAGGGATAATCTATCGAATTCCAGGTCTTGTTTTAATACATCAACAATCAGACAGTAGACAAAGAATTGTCGGTTTTAAAGCACTTTTTCAAAATTTGAAAGCTATGCAGGTGAGTTGTCAGCAGTGCTGGTCGGAAAATTTTGTTGCTGTCTATGTTCAGTTTTACTTAAGTGAATTATATCTTTTAGAATAATAATAATAGACAGCTAGATAAAATTGCGAAAAGGCGGGCAGCAGACACGAAATACCCTAGGTTGTTTGGCTGTTCCCGATCAACCTATTACAGAAGGTTGAGGAAAATAAAAGGACAGTTCATAAAGAAGTGTCAGTTACCGAGCTGTGACGAAGAGACAGACAATCCAGTTGTCGTCACAGAATCGCGTACTAACGTAGCTACAGAGCAGTGGACTAATATTGTCACAGATACAGCTACTGCTTCATGTAGTCACGTCCAGTGTTCAAACAACCCAATCAACGGTAGTATCTGTTTAATTATTAAAATTTTATAGGTGATGCTATACATTTCCCATTAAGAACGCATGAGGAGTTGCGTTCTTTAGAGGCAGCTTTAGAAAACCAAAAATACCGAGATCATTTGGTAAGTTGTAAAAGGTGTTTGCATAAATTTTAGGTGGCAAGGTTACGCAACCTAATGTGTGACGATACTCGGAAATCAACTAAAGCTTGTCTTCAATACATCCTGTCGCCGGAACTAGCGAACATTTACACTTTGCACGGAACCAGAAGTAAATTTGGTATTAGTAAGTACAAATTTTACTCGACGGTTCAAAGTAAGTCAACTTTACTGTGTTAACATATTTGTAGGTGCTTTGTGTTCACATTTCCGAAGTGCAAGCTGCCCGGAAAAAGAAATATTACACGCCATGGCTACAGCAAGCCAAGCCTTCTTGCATGACGCAAGAGATAAAGTACACAAACGTGGATGGCGATCCAAAGAAAGGGTGAGCTAAAACTACTAAATATGTTTGTTATAATACATATGTTCACTTTGTCACACATTGTTCCTACTCATTCCCCTTCCTACTCTTTTCTATATTGTTTAATACCACTTAATAAAATGCATGATTCTGTTGTATTCCCAATAACTGAAGTTCACTTTGGGGTTTTCCCCAAAATTCACAGGATGTTAATCGTCATTGTATTTATCACTATAATCACTGTACTTTAATTACTGTAACAGCTTATTACTTAGTCATCAATACTCAAAGTGATATAACTTGTCTCTTGTCTGTTTCCCTTTCAGCTGGCTTCGCAGGCTTTATCAGACGTTACTGTAAGTTCTTTGTTCGCATTAATAAGAACATTGTCATACTATTGATACATTACCAATCTTTCACATATCTCGACGCGTTATTATACACTAATAATGATTTATTTATTTTTTAGAACATTATCAATGACACTTCTACGTCGACGTAACGTGTTGCTGTTACAACGCAATGAAAAACTTTGTATAAATGATTCATTTGTAATTTTATTAACTGTAATAAACATTTATATAATTCATAAATCAGTCTTTTGACAATCGTGACAAATCGGTTAACATTATGTTTCATTAGCAATGCGCGATTGACGAAAAGTAATAAAACGTCGCAGTAAGAAATGTACGTAAGCATTCTCCTACGTCTTCCGTGATGTCGATAGGCTTTCGAGAAGCTTTTGCGTTAAAACTGTTTTCCAGGAAAACCCAAAGGTTTGGGGAAGCTTCCCCAAAATGATATAACTATCGTGTCCGTTCCCCTCTCATCCGGCTTCGCAGGCTATATCAGACGTAACCGTTGCTTAATTGTTCTTTCGTATATTATTTTATACTACTTACTAAAATTCAGTAGTAAGTTATATTACCAAAACCTTCAGTTCACTTTGGGGATTTCCCCAAAGTTCCCCAAAGTTCCCCAAAATTTCCCCAGAATTTCCCCAAAGTTCCCCAAAATTTCCCCAGAATTTCCCCAAAGTTTCCCCAACCTTCCCCAAGGGTTGGGGAAATTTTGGGTTTTTTTTCTCATTTCCCCAAAATTTCCCCAAAATTTATTATAGCGGCTTCCCCAAAATTTCCCCAAAATGGACTCAATTTTCCCCAAAGTTGGCAGCTCGGGGGGTTAACCCTAACCTAAACCCTATTTCTATGGACGAGTTTCTATACCATATGCATTATGAATTCAGAACCTCTGAACGTTTATGAAACCTTAACAAGTTTTTAAATCATGTAAAAGAAGAATATCCACTGTAATTCATTACTTACAATATATTTTCACTTTATACCTACTGTCTCCTGATTGGCTAATAATTGTCAAGGTCATTTGAGATTCGTTCAAAGTTCGTCGCTAAATTAAAGTCTTGCCAAATATTCTTTTCTAGATACCGTCATATTACCTCTCTATATATACGTATAGTTATTTGAGTTTGTTCTGATATTATTCAAGTCTCTTTTCAAGTCAATTTATAAGAATCCTACTATGCGTGAATAGGGTGGATCACAGTAATGTGGGAGGCAAAGATGTCTGTTCCGTCAAGATGAAAATAAAATATACCAAAGGGAGGAGCGAAACTTATCCGAAAATAGAAGGAAAATAACACAATATATAGAAGGAAAAAAGAAATATAATATCCCAGCAGAAAATAGTTTATAGTTTGTTGTACAAGATCACGTCGGACTCACCAATAAAGATCGTACTATAAAAACCCGGTCAAATCAGACATGGAAAATGAAGTGTTTAGAAGACATGATTGGGAGGCCATCAATATGTCACAAAGCATTTTCTCTTAACTGGCTAACAGTTGCAAATGATGCGTAGTACGGTGTACCCACTCATGATCTCGTGCGGATGCATGACCAAGAGCTTTTAGCTAAGTGAGTTCAGTAGAACTAATATGGTCAGCATCAATGTCGATGACTTACAGAATTAATGTGGGGATTTATTTACCGTTACGTCTCATCTTAAAGTGGCAGAATCAGTACACGTTAGAACCCATACTGTGGTTGCCAACATCACTCGAAGACCGAAGAAGGATCGTACTACTCATTAGGATATTCCCCGTTCAATCGGTTCTGCTGATAAATATTCGTTACCTCTAACTGAAGTTCGGATGATCATGAGGCTGACTGGGAGCTTTCTGACCCCTAAAAATTTAAGTGTTCTGATGTAATAACCGTTTCATGTGGTTTTAATTGGCCCAAACCAACCTGAAAATAACTTAGGTGGGTCAATGTCACCAGTGAGCGAACAGACAGTCTCCTATGACGACGTTCAGAAAGCCGTTGATTTCTAGTGGTCAACCATAAACACAAGGAGAGGCATCGTCTAACAAGGAAACGTAAAATTCGTCCGACAATTGGACCATATCGACACCAACCATCAAACAAGTTCCTAACACGTCGTCCCAGTTCAACAAGAGATACAAACTATTCTCAGATGTTCTTACCGTGCTCACATGCATATGCTAGCAGAATCTAGTCTTCTAATTATTTTCGGTATGCGCTTCTCTCTTTCTATAAGCAGTGTTCCTACAAGATTCGTATGCATTGACTAGTGGCAAGAAGTAAAATAATTGAGCACATTGACCGATATCAGGAGTTCAGAATTGTTGAATGAGTAGTCGCTATTTTATTAATCAGAGGTATACTTTAGTCTTTACGAATAATATTCCTAAAGAGTACATCGAAGAATGTCTAAATAAGAACTTCTTTTAAATTGGCAAATACGTTCACCAGTCCCAATAATTGAGTCATTGCTGGAGGTCCATGAAAAACTACTCCATAAACGTTAAGTTTTCTGTGGAGTCGTAAAATAAACCAAAAACAGACTACTTATCTTACTAATTTTCTGAGTTGAGATATTTAACCTGTATCCGCCACATCTGTTACTAAACTATGTTATCTCATTCCTAGATATTACAACGATACTTTGAGCTATTGATGAGTAGTAAAACTAGAAAATACCCAATCACTTGAACAAAACGTAGAAAACCACTCGGAGCAAATACGAGGCTCTGCGGTAGCTAACAGACTTGACTATACCTGTACATACATACATTGCAGATCCTCAACGTTAAACGAAATGACTAAATCTCTTTAGATACGTTAGAATTCTAAGCTTTATTCACATGCATTTATCCTGCTTTTAGTAAAAACAAAATAAACCTGAGAATATTTGTAACTCGTTGGCGTCTTGTTTTAAACCTTTCTTTCGACCGTATTCCCTCTGTAGTGAAGAATTACCTATCGTACATACTAAGACTACCGCCATAAAGCATGTATTTATCGTTGAATAAACTATAGAATAGTCAGTAATTTGATGATTATCCATACTTGTTGTTACTATTCTTATAAACTGAATGTTTTTCGCCCCAATACATAGAAGTATGGATAAGAATTGGTCAAATATGAGTTCAGGCTGTTCAACAAATCAAGTAGCAAGTGATTTAATAGGACGCTTACAATTATTCTCTTTTACATGAAACCCATCTTAACCTGTTCAAATAAAATTGTCGTACATCAGAACGAGACGAAGTTTCATTAGTAATACAAACACCAAATAATGGAGTGATCAAGATTTGTAGCTGAGGGAGGTTATTTCCGTTCTCTGAGATAGATGGTTTAATCGCCAAACATTTTCCTGAACGCAATCAGGAAGAGTTGTCATTTTAAGTGGGAAGTTTTGAATACCTCACTTCTCCCTGTATTTCGTGCTGATGTTGTTCAGGAAAACAACGAAAGCTATAGAATGAAGCTATTCAGAACACAGAACGAAACTTCAACAAAAGAATTGAATGAAGCCACATTGAGCAAAATGACAATCTATGTGCACACAAAACTTAACGAGTCCTCATAACAACTCTAGAGGATGGATTTAGGTTATGAAACTCGCAAACGATTAATTAAATGACTGGCGTTTAGGTCATACTATATAGGTTAGTCCGAACGAATCAGTGTCAATATAAATCGATCGTTCCTAACAGTTTATCGGTTTAGTAACTTTTTGTTAAACTCGTAGCCCTTCCGATGCTAAGAACTGTGTTTAACCTTATTTCTTAACTCGCCCAACCATAAACCCAATAACTCTTCATTTGACCGATATACATACAGCCCTAATCTTTCGACTTTTATAGGTTAATTCTGCCTTATTAACGCAACTTCGTAATATTATTGTTATTTCAAATATTTGAACTCATTATACTTAATTAGTTAGTAAATTTTCTTTGAAATGTCGGTTTTTTTAGTAAGAAATCTTGTCTGTATACTGTCTAAAAATAATTGTACACATTTACATATCAATGTGAATGCCCTAGTACGGCCGAGGATGGAGAGTGCTCTCCCTCTCGAAAAACTCTCACGTAGCTAAGGTCCGAAGTCGTACTGCTGAATGTACAGAGGTGTGACAGCAGTAAGGTGTTTCCCTCAGACGACCAGCATGACAGCGATGTTACCTTACCACAAGGAGGGGTGGGGTTAGAAAAAGTCGACCCTAAAAATGCACACCTCGCCTTATCCCACGGATATCCGTCTTTGGTGGTAAGGTCTCAACAAGAAAATTATTCACAGAAAAGCCGTATGTAACCGGCCTCAAGCAGTTGTTCCTTGGGCACTGTGGTCACGCTCTCAGGTCTCTAGAGCCACCTCTAATCTAATTTCCTTTTCAGATACCTCAATTTGCTACAGAATATATAACACTTCAAACAGTAGGTAGCCTTAGATCAAATATTCGATCGTATTTCTTTCATACTGTTATTTTTGCAATTATTTTGATTACCAATTACACTATTTCATTTGTCATATAAAGTTAGCGTTGTATACTAGTCATTCCAGTATTAATAATTTTACTTTATATAAACAATCTTAAATTCAAATAAATTAATTCTAAAATTATGTATAAATCTTTAACTTGTCCATTTTTTTGGACTATCGATTTGACAGTAAAATGTCATCTGAGAAGTCTATTTTAAAAGAACATTTTCTATTTGCTTCCGTGTATTAATATGATGGAAATTTTTTTAAGGAATTAGATAACCAATCTGAGGAGCTTGAAAAAAAAGTAAGTAATACCATCTACGCATCCGGAATTGTAAGGCAAAAGTTTACGATTAGTAGCCATGTCAACAACTTATAACTAAGTTTTAATTGACAGTATGAAATACAATTGCTTCTTTGAAAGTGAAATATTTCCACAAAAGGAAAAAAGCCAAAATAATAAAGAAATTTATCTAATATTTAGAGAACTACATACAAAAACTTGAAAAACGAACAAACAAAAAGAGCAAACAGAAGACGACAAAAATGTTTACAAATAAGGAATAAAAGAAATCAGACATGACGACTGCCAAATGTCAGAACAGCAGTATATAAGGAACTAAATAATTAAAGAAGCAGAAAAAAACAGACGAAGAACAATCAAATGTGCAAACATACAATTTTTCGCAGACTATAGTTGAACATATACACACGCAGACGCGCACACACACACATACACACAACGTTCAAACACACGTATGCAGACACCAGAACACAAACTTTTACAACCACGTATCCATATAGAATACTCAGAGATTATTGGATGCGCACTTGCCACAATGACAGTCGTCGGCATTTCAATCTGAAACCAAATAGAAAGTCACGTTATTTTAGTTATAAAAAAATTAAGTGAATTCAACCAGCTAAACTCTAGCAAGCTGAAATACGTTATTTTACAAAACAATCTCAACTAAAAAGTGTCTAAATTTAAACAAGCCATTCATTTTTTCATTAAACTAGGAAGTGATTTGGTCTTTTGCACAAATTTTAAAAAAAATTTCAGTTTTATAAATAAAACACATTTACCAAGCGGAAATTTTTGCATCTGACCGAGTCATACCATCTTTGACGGTTAATGGTGCAATCCGGAATTGGGTTTGTATTTGTAACCTACTGGTTGAAAAAGAAGTTGCTAATACCGTTTTAAAATTGACTGGTCACTGTACATCTTAAAATGAGTGAATATTGAGGATTATGTTATATAGCCTATGTAAATTTGGAATATGATCAACCTATCATATTCACTTTACAAAATGTGACAAAATGCTTCATTGATAAACAAGCACATCTAATCCACAATATTTGATTTTGTCTTCAGGGTTGTTTGAATTGAACTAACCATTTCTGAAATGCTTTACGTTTAATTAAATAACATGAACTAGAAATTTACTTGATTTGAAGTTATAGGATTGAAAAGTTCTTGTGAGCATTTTTCTCTCTTGAGTATTATTATTCAACTTTCTTTAAAGATGTAGATAACTGGATATGATAACTTAAATTTTCTAGTAAACTTTTCATTTTCATATTTTTCGTCAGATTTAGTAAGTTACTTTAACGGAGTTCTGTAGATGAGGAAGCTACAAAAATCGTAGTACGTACATAATCATGCGTAAATTTAAGGGATTTGTTTCTTGTGTTTCTACTCGAATATAAAATTATCATTTTATGCTCCAGAATTCATGTGACATGTGATAAAACTCGTCAAACTTACGTGTGTGTGAAATGATCAGAGACATTCACTAACAACTTTTAAGATTTAAAAATATTCAATCACTTGATATACTGAGTTAAGAGAATCCTGAGTTCTCAAAATCGGTTACTTCTGTTGATAAAATGAAAGTTGTTGGTTCGTATCACATTGTAACAAGATTTCTATAAAGCTTCACCTGGCAAACCTCGGTACGACAGATCCCCAAATTGATTCGATCAACAGAGAACTATTTTAATTAATGCATCTTCAAAGGAGCTATAAACACGGATTATTATTATGAAAAGCGTTTTCTATTACAACCGGATATTAGCTGGAGAACCAGTGAATACCATGGAAAATAGACAGTGGTCTTATTCTGAAATGCTTCAGTAACGGTCACCTAAAACTCCCAAAGAAGGACATTCAGGTTTCGAAGTAACCACGATACCTTTAAAATACAAAATGGGAGTTCAATAATTTACATTTCTAACTTATATCAGTCTGGGACAAAATGTGCTCATTGATGAACCACATTGGTAAGTAGTCCTTCCAAATAACCTGACTTCAATATGTACTCTGTATGGATAACCAGAAGACGCGCCATAATCTACAGATCAAGGCGTAAACAAAGATAAATCTGTACAAGCTTACTGAATAATATTTAAAACCAGACATTAGATTTCAGAAGGCCATAAGTAAAGCTAGTAAACTTGAAATATAACAAGTTAACATTTGCAATACATGTAATGATAAAAAGACAAAACTCATGAAAAAGTACTGGATGCTTTATCATTCATACATATTTTAACAAATAAATACACGATAAAACTTGCCTATACTTGTTATAAGGAAACATTTGCACATTTGTGAAGAATTTTCAGTTCAAGGAAAATGATGAAAACGGTGGTAGTGACTGAGACTTCATGTTTTCTCCCCCACGCAAAAACAGGTAAAAACCGTTAATCTGAAATCATTGTAAGTAATATACACCAAAACCCGAACACAAAGTAACAAATTAAACGCAATACAATGTGGATTGACAAGACAAGAATTCTTTGTGTGAGGGAGGTTCCTTAGTGAACTTTCAGTAAGCACAAATTATCAGTCAACTAAGAAAAAACTATACTAGGCAAGACTGAGAGATTGAATATTCGTAAACTTCAGCAACGCGACAAACACTTCGTGGTGACGTAATAAAAGTGAGACAATTACGTTAACTTTCAATATAGATAAAACGATAAGACCGTTTATCAACTAATTAAATTACACTGATTACTCATAATATTATTTGTAAACGTTCGACTATTTATGCAATCGAATAAACAGTAATAAGCATTACGATTAAGATTAATAAACGTCAAAAATGTTTTTAAACTTACCGAAAATAACAATAGACCAACGAGTTAATACAAACTTGCAAATATGAAACAAACGTCAGATTAAATGCACACAAGTGAGGATGGTGATTATGGTAGGTATTATTAACCAAAAAGTCAACTAAGGCAATCCAATAGATTTGAACATCAAACAACTGAAATTAATACACCAATTATGTCTGTTTATATATAGAGAGAGAGACCATCGACACTGGAAAACAGAAATAAATAATTACAAGGGACTAGTGAAAGTTTGCTTGATTTTCTGAGAACAAGAAGTTGTTTTTTTTGTCGTAATGGTTACTGGGCAGATGAAGTAAAAACAACAGGTCGTGAATTTTCCGAAGATATACGGGCACGCTTCCTAAAATCTTCCGAACCATGCAATTGTGAGTCAGCATTACTCCTAGAATTTGGATGACTATCGGAGGAAAGTTCAAGACTGGAATCAACCAATCCAACACGTTTTGATGTAAGTTTACCAGTAGAGTCGACTGTATTGAGTGTATTATTGCACAAGGAATGATCTGAAGACAATAAATGTGTATCCTTCATGAGATCCTGAGATAAAAGTATTAAACAAGGAAAATTTTGCATTGAACTTAAATTTTAAGCATAAAAAAACCTCACATATAACATGTACTTATTTTCTAAACTTTAAGATGGTATTTTATAAGTTTTTAACTCTTAGATTATCAGTATTATTCGTTAAGATCAGAAGGATTTTCAATAAACTATTAGAATTACAAATGATACGATTACGGGATTGGTTTACAGAAATGAAACGCGACAAGATACCTATAATTTTAATCCCAATTAAATGTTACAGAAAAAGTAATTCTATTTTTGTGATAACAAGCACATTAAGGTGAAGTTTTAGGGATTAAAGAAAAAACCCTAATCATTCACGAACATATACACGATTTTTGAGGTGGTCATAATGAATAACCTACATATTTGTGATTATCTAGGGTAAGTGATGATTCATTTAGTTGAATGTCAGGTGCTACAGCACCACATACCCCAGAGGATATTAATTTCGGAGATGAAGGAGGACATTTTGGTGATGAGTTTACGGTAGCCATGTTGGTCAGAGAACTTGTAGAAATGGAATTATGAAGACTATTTGCAGGGGACGAAAACTCCTCAGATCCAGAGAGTTCAATACTGCTGGCTGGACTGGATATTGAGTTCAATGTGTTGCTGTTCGGAAGTAAACGGCCACTTTTTAGACTTTCAGTAGGAATATTTACATTTGATAAAGCGGCAGAAGCAGCTTGACGTTTAATTTCATCCATATCTTCTGCAGAAATGAACTGAGCTAATTGTGACCTAAGAATAAAAGATATTGTGGAGTATTATGGACAAAAATCAAAGGACAATATTTCAGTGGTTTAATGGATCAGTTAAATACTAAATCGAAAAAAATAGCTAAAAGTAATATAGCTCGAACTTGACACTCAAGACTAAGTCCACCAAGCAATAAAAATTCTCTGAAGTAATCTATCCTACAATACTTGTAACTACATTCAAGTATCCTTTAAAGACTTTTAAGACTAACTTTGAGATGGTGGTTCGAGGTAGCCGACAGGAAACCCTGGATGTAGGTTTTGTACTATTTGACAAGCGTCAGCAAGGAGTACCTGAAGTCGTGAAGGGAGTGATGCTCCGTGACGGATACGACCCAGTATAACCAAGCTTCACAGTCGGAGATTACAGCTACAACTTGCTGATAAGTATCAAATAGCAAGAAACCAAAGTTCAGGGTTTCCTGTCGACTACCACGAACCCAATCTCATCTCAAAACAGTGCACGTAATGTCGAGTGACCTACACTAACGGCCAGATTGCAACTTGGTCGACAAAATTCGATTCGCACAAAGAAGGACCTAATAATGATCATTACCCAGTGATCAATCAATTGTAAATACTGATTAGATTTAGCGATTGGGCTGACTAATATTTTAGGTAAAATCTGGGAGTTCGACGTAATCCTATCTCATTGGTCACAATCACCCTGTGATAACGATAGAGGGATTAGTTTGACTAACATAGCATGTAGAATACTAGCCTCAACAATTATCGGTCTCCTAACTTAGACTCGTGAACTGCAAACACGAGCGAATCAAGCTGGCTTCAGACCTGGTCGTGGCTGCATCGACCACATATTCACCATTCGTCAGGTTCTAGAACACAGGCGTACTTATCGACGTCCGACAATGGTGGTCTTTCCTGTCTTAAAAGCAGCATTTGACTCTGTAGACCGCGAGATTCTGTGACAGTGTGTCATTGAAAGGCGTACCTCATAAGTGTATAAACCTCGTGAGGAACCTTAACTTGAATATTACCAACCACGTCAGAGCTTATGGAGAACTATCATCAGCTTTTGCAACCTCAATTGGTGTCCAGCAAGGCTGTCCACTATCTCTATTTTTGTTCAACTTCATCATATACCTAATGCTGGAAATAACATTCTCGTCTACTGAATTTTCAGACATTGATCTCCTATCAGGAGGTCTACTTACCGACTTAGAATATGCAGATAAAGTCGCTGATCAAATGCTGAGTATTTTGGTAGCACTAAGCAACAATGCCAGAATGTTTGGAATGCGTATCTCTCCTTCTAAATGCAAGTTGTTGCTTCAGGACTGGTGTGCGTCAACACCTGAACTAAGGATAGGGAGTGAAGTAGTCAAACGCGTTAACATTTTCATTTATCTTGGAAGTCTGATCAACCCTAACGGGTTGGTGTCTGACGAAATCTCAGCACGGATTGAAAAGCCCGTTTGGCTTTTGCCAACTTACGTTACCTATGGCAAGTTCCAGGTATCCGTCTATCAATAAAAGGACGAGTATACTACGCGGAAGTCCGCTCTGTTTTAATTCACGGCAGCGAAACATGCCGATTAAGCGTAGAAGGTACTCGTGAGCTACTAGTATTTGACCGCAAATGTCCTTAAAATATTGCTCGCATCTCATGGGATCACCAGGTAAGTTATAGTGAGGTTAGACACAGGGTATTAAGGAATAGTGGCAAATCAATTGATTAGGTTGTGAATCTTCATCGACTGAGATGGTTGGGCCGCGTGTTGCGTATGGCTGAACACCGATTACCACGACGCACAATTCTGACTAGTGTTGGGGATGGATGGAAGAAAGTTAGAGGGGGTCAAATCAAAACGTGGCATCAGTGCTTGAAGTCATTAACTTCTAGTTTGAGCCATGATGGTTGATACAGACTACTTGGTTGGGGTCCGCGTGACTATCATAATCAATGATTGGAGACTGTGTGTGACGTAGCTCAGAATCGATCACAATGGCGTCGGTGTATATACTCTGTGTCTTCCCCTAAACTAAGAGATTAAAATCGCTTCATATCTTTCTTTTTACGAACTAATTCTTCCTCCCTGTACGATATCTTTATACACAATCTTTCTTTTATATATTACTACCTCTGAATTAACTACTTTTATCAATCCGGTGTCCATCTTGTTGTGTTCATGAGGTATGGCAACTAGGACCGATGCACATATGTGCCTGGTCCTACGTTGTAGCTGACTGAAAGATTGACTTTTCATAGACAAACGAAAATCTCGGCATAGGAATATGCTGTGTGGGTTATATACTGTATATACAGTCTAGAATACATAGTTTTCCCCATTTCTAATGATAATGATGGCAGTTTTCGCTACGCGCGCTACTTATGTTTGCAGATATGAGTAGTGTGTAACACCAGTTAGAAGTGGAATGTCTGCGAAAACAATTTGAGAAAATTGAAATAAAAAGAGAGGAAACTGAAAGCAATCAAGGTAACACCAGGAATGAAGGAACAGGGAAGTCTGAAAGAAACAACTCGAAGATGTGCAAATGATGTAACTGATGTATGATTTTAGTATTTTAGTAAACCACTATGTGATTGTGCAGTAAACAATATATCAATCTTCTCCACCTGCGTTCTCGTACAGTGCAGTAGAAATGTTGAATATCAGGTGTAGGCCATGTACGATATTTAAATTGCCTTGATACAAAAGAGTGTGCCATTCAAAATAACTAAAACTACTTTTGTGAAAATCAAGCAGTTTATAGGTACTTCCTTTATGTAATAATTTTGAGTGAATTCAGTATATTAATGTTCAGAGATACTATCGTAGAATTTATTGATGGACTGAGAGGATTGTGTATATACCTAGTATATGACAATGAATATTCGCTCCCGCTAAACTACATTTTAATGTATAAATTAATATATGACCAAATACTTAACCGGTTGTTACATAATAGAATCATAATGATAATTACTTCTAGAGCAAGCATTTTATGACCTGGACGATTGTGAATGCGTATACTAAATATTTTCTTATTGGCAGACTAATCAAAGGACTTACTTTTTGACATATTTAACGGTTACTGATAAGTCTTCACTTGAAAGACCACGTTCAATTGATTTTTCAAAAGAGCTGATATTCTCACTCAGGTCTACGTTCAGGGTAGCTTTATCACTAGAGACATTTGGATTATGAACAGTGCTGGTCAAAGAATTAGTATTACGATCGAATTCCATCCCAATGAACCATTTACGAACAAAATTAGCATCATCATCATTAGGACCTTTTCCGTAGGCATGACAGTTTACATGTGCCATTTTGACATAACGGTTTACCTCGAAATTGCTAACAAGAACACGCAATCTGGATTCCACCAAACCACATAATTCGATGAAAGTATGTTTAGTGTTTCCAACGACGATGACAACAACATAGTGTCGATATTGAAAGAAAAAGGCTGCTTCAAATAGGTTTGACCAGGAACCCTTGTGCATCATTGAAGCCCTGACAACATTCAAACCTTTAGAAAGTAGAATACAGTATAAATTGAAACAAAAACGTATGGAAAAAAAATGATAATTCACAGTGAAACTGACTGCACAAGTAGGAATTTAAGCTTAACAGCAGTTAAATAACCTTTGACTGATCTAAGCAAAACATTTTGTCCTCAAATTAGTTATAATATTTGATAAAAATCATACACGTTTAGCCTTGTTATTCGGGGAATAAATCTTCAAGGATTGATTTACGGGACCCTTCGTGAACATTTTTATCGATCAACAGCTCAGTTACAGTAGAAATATTTACCTTAATTAAATTAAATCTGTTCACTATTAAATGTATTAGAAACTTCCCAGATATGTGAAACCAAAACGTTTTAACATTATTTAGATGTAGGTTTGAAAATGATAATTCAAGATAAAAGCCTCCAAAATCTGTGAATTTACACGTTGAAATTTTTCTTCGGTTATGTTGGAAAATGCTACTGGTTTTTTTTTATGAAAAAAGTAACAAAAGTACACATTTAGTAGCTTCAACTTCATTCTTTTCGGCTTCGATACAAAATAAACCACGAAAATGACGTTATTTCCAAAAATTATATAAATACGTGAAAAAACTACAGGTAGAATGATTAGCCCTGGTTGCGAACTACAGCGGATCAATAAAACGACTATTACTAATAGATGTTTACTGAGTCAGTCAGTCAGTAGCGACGTAGAACTTTGTACGTACATGCATCATTTCGAGTTGCCATACCACATTAGCAGAAATACAATTGTCAATTCGAATCCCGTAGTGGAAGAGGTAGCAAAAGCACAAGCAACAATCGGAAACAATAGGGTTTGAAGATGCTATTCAAGGAGTATAACCCAGAGAAATAAATTTGGAAAGCGAAAAAAAGGAACATGGAGAATTCAGAAGATTAGAATTTGGGAGAACATAAAGAGTGGATGCACCTACGCCATCGCAATTGATTTTGAACCATGTCATTTAAGGTCTCTAACCATCGGATGCTATAATCTCGCGATCCCCAACCAGGTAGTCTACACCTACCGACATGACTCAGTCCACTTGTCAGTGACTTCATGGGGTTGTGCCATGTTTTGGTCTGGCCGCCCCTAGCTTTCTTCCAACCTACTCCTACACAATAAAACATCGCACGTCGGGGCAGTTGGTGGTTGAGGATACGTAACACGTGCCCCAGTCATCTCAACTGATGAAGTTTCACTACGTCATCAATCGATTTGCCATCCTTACCTAGTACCCGTTTCCTAACAACTGCATTACTTACTCGATGGTCCCAGGATATATGAGCAATATTTCGAAGACACCTATGATCAAATACTAGTAATCTACGGATATCTTCTACTCTTACCAGCCATGTTTAACTGACATAAAGTAGGACGGAACGAACTGCTGCGCAGTAAACCCGTCCTTTGATTGGTAGATGTATCTCTCCTACGCTATAAATGACGCAAGTTGGCAAAAGCTAGTCGAGCCTTCTGTATCCGTGGTGAGATTTCGTCACACACCAGACAACAAGGGCTGGTGAAACTCCCAAGATAGGTGAAGCGGTCAACATGCTCAACTACTTCACTGCCTATCATTAGTTCGGGTGTCAATGCAACCCAAACCTGAAGTAACATTTTGCATTTCGAGGGGGAGAATCGCATGCTTGCATTGTTGCTTAGAGTGGTCAGAAGACTCTGCATTTTGTCAGCGTCTTTACCAAATAGAACTATGTCATCGGCATATTCTATGTCAGCAAGTGAATCTCCCGGTAAAAGTTCAACTCTTAGAAATTTAGATGAGGAAAGTGATATCTCTAAAAGCACGTCGACGACAAAGTTGAACAAGAACGGAGAGAGTGGACAGCCCTGGCGAACACCACTTGAGGTAATCAATTCTGATGACAGTTCGCCATCAACTCTCAATCAACCAGTTGTGTTCGAGTAGAGGCCAAATGATAAAATAACTCCCATATTTGAGACGACTAGGGCACTTTAAAGTATATTTGAGAAATATGGAGATTTAGCTGAATTTTTGAACAATTTACCTTAAATAGATACGACCAGAAATCGTATAAAGCGAGTTATTTTTAAAGACTGTTGACAAGAATAGTGCTTTTGGTAACTTTCACTGACAAACTAATCATAAACACTCCACACAAGACAGAGGAAGAGGTAACAGACAATGCATTTAACCATGAAGCGTATTGGAAGGTTTGTTATTTAATCAGGTCTATAATAAAAAATAACCAAACACTTGACTTCTACAAATTAAGATACAAAAAACAAAATGCAGTGAAACCTACCTTGTTTTAATTCCCTTTCAATAATAATGCGATTACTTCGCTGTACATTGTACGTTGAATTTTGGGATGGGTAACTTGGAGTCAATATAGGCATCAAGTGATATTGATCAGAAGGATTAAGCTGGTGTTAAAAATTAAATTATTTACCACATACAATGATTAGTGATTGCAGTCATATTAATACAACAGATTTTAAACTCCCTAATTCAGTGATATACAAAGACATATAAACAAAAGCATGGTAAGATGAGGTACTCCAGAAATTATGATTTAACGAAAAGTGAGAAATTAGATATATGGTCACAGCTCAAATCCCTGCTCCTGTTCGGCTATTGTTGACTTCTGCCTTCGTGTTTCCCCTTCTTGCATCTTGCAGAGGAAGCCTTTAGATGTATATTGTTTAATTGGGGCTTGTTGGGGTCAAACACCTCTTGTCAATTTTAAGTTACTGTTTATTCAATGCCTTTTTAGTTGGTCAATATAGTGATTTGCTACTCTCCTAGTAGATCTCGTAAGACCTAGAACTTGCTTCTAAGAGCAACCATGAACTCGCTGAGCTTGTTGGCATGTCGAAGAAATATTGTACTGAACATCGTACGCCCGTTTGTCTAACGATTCAATGTCTCTATAGCTTGGTCGCCACCAAGCGTTGATCTGAAGCGATATCAGTTCCCAGCCCAACACGTCGTCCGGACATTCTGTGTCCTTATGTTTATTGTTGACCTGGTTGTCAGAAGGGCCACTGGTTTAGTGGCTTCCAAAGTCTCGGCTTTCACTACGAGGCGTCGTAACTCCAATAAACTTCCAGAGCAGAATTTAAATCGTCTAATTGTTTGACGCTGGTTAGGGTATTGCTAACAGTTTTCTCATGAGATGGGGTTGCTAACCTCCCTCCCGAACCTCCATTTCTAATAGGCCTGGCTGTTAGTTACTTCATAGGTTCTGTAGGCTGAGCTTAGTATTGACTAGTCAGTAATACAGTACTTTGGCTTTAAGAATTGTTATTTTTTCCCACTAAATAATGGATTTATAGTCTGGTAATAGTACTTCACGCCTATTAACAACTGCAAATTCCTGGTTTATTTAATATTGATGAAGGGAACACTAATATTCTTGCTCTTCAACAACTAGGTGTATATACATAGTCGTAATTAAAATCAGCTTTTGTCAGCTCTGTCCGAAAGGTTGAAAGAAAAATCATATTTTGTTGAGATGTGTTCTACATTGCCGAATATCCACCGTCGTTTCCTTTACTCAATACGTATGAATACTGGTATAACTCAGTACCGAAATAATATACACTGTTAGTTATTTCCATAACTAATCAATCAAATCTCAGCTTAAATGCCCACCATATCAACCTGGTCTGATATGTCTGTAGGCTATCCCTGTTGCATTTTATCTGCCAATTGAAGGACAAGATTATTCTATTATATTATTAGTGTTGAGATGTGTGCTACTGACGTCGATAGATATCAGTAGTATGTATCATCAATCAAAAGTGAAATGCCTGGAGGCAGAAGGTTAAGAAGATAAAAGAAAAGGGAGCGAGAACAAAGAATGAATGCTGTAGAAATAAAGGAACAGTCAAGTCTGAGGCGATTGAATGACATTTTGCAAATGAAGTATGGTTCCCATATTTTACTAACAGATTCTGTAATTTTGTGATCAAATACATTCGATTGTACCCACTTATGTTCTCGTTTACTACAGTGTGCCTAATGCTCGTATTATTCATTTCGATAAGACACACTGGTGGGTATAAACAGGCAAAGCGTAGGCAGAAACAACGAAAAAGCAACGACATGTGACCCTATCCTTCCGAGTTTATACGGAGCCGTTTAGCCAAACAGCACATAAACGACTGTTAACGACGATCCACTCTAATAGTGCTTTTTCCGCCCTCATGCTTAGTACTATGCCTACTCCTGCCAGTCCACGAGAGCTGGCCGTCGGGTCACCAGATACACGGAGGGTGTATCTCGTTGGCTCTCCGTTTTACCGAGGTGAGGTCAAGTGAATGACCACACTAGAATCCTACATGCGTGTTTCGGAGACACAGCATACATCAATCGTACGAGATTCTAGGGTCCTAGTCAAGGGAGCCTGTTGACCAATTTGACATAGGGTGAGCACGTTGAAGGCCCCAATGTGTAGTTTGGAGCCAGAATTCAGTAGACCTGGAAGCGTTTTGCGCACTAGAATCGTGGGCTATGATGACACTCGAGGAGGAAGCCAAAAGAGGAAGTTGAAAGTCAATGTAAGAGGAATAATAGGAATTGAAGAGGGAGGTTGATTATGAATACAGTGGTCTTGAGTGCTATTAGAGGTATGAGGGCGGTTATCACTTCCCGGTTGCCCATACCGTGGAAGGGTTCATCTAAAGGTACCTGAAAAGGAAATTGAATTAAGGGTGATCTTGGTGACCTGAGAGCGTGACCGCAGTGCCCAAGGAACGACTGATTGAGGTCGGTGTTAGCTCCGTACTTGTTGAAACCTTACCACCGAAGACGGATATCCGTGGGATAAGGCGAGGTGTGTATTTTTAGGGTCGACCTTTTCTAACCCCATCCCTCCTTGTGGGAAGGCAGCATCGCTGTCATGCTGGTCGTCTGAGGGAAACACCTTACTGCTGTCACACCTCTGTACAGTCAGCAGTACGACTTCGCCTTCGGACCTTAGGTTTGTTGCTTTTAGTCCTACCGCTCTTCAACCGACCTGTCTGACATGGTAGGACCTTGAGGGACGGTTGTTCCAGCCAGTATAGCTCGGTTGCTTCATCACGATAGACAAGCTCGACCACCACGTCAAGGTAGCAACAACAGTCGGGAGTTTTGAACAGTAATGTATCAAAAATTCATGCGCCGAGTGCTGTTAAATGTCTACGAAGGATCGTTAGAGTGATCAGATTCCTGAATTGTCTCCCCATTATACGGAAACTCATAGTGATGATAAGTTTGAAGGAAACGTCTACAGAATGAATGAGTCACTTGCTAGATTTGGAATTAGCTAAAATATGTTTGATCCAGACAAAGAAATTGAGCTGGAAAGGTTGTTACATTAAAGGGGAAGAAAACATCATGGTCAAGTTGCGGTCGACAGGGTGATGTCGTACGGGCCTACGTCTGCCTCACGTAAGGTTGAAGTTCCCCCTGGGAAGGACTGGATGGCAATGATATCTGAAGCTTTAGAGCTACGAAAGAGGGAGATCATAAGGTTTGATGGTAATCCCATCAACTATTGTAGTTTCATACGGCATTTCGAGGAATGTTTCGATGAAAGTGTTGGATCCTGATCTAGGTTAAACTATTTGATTCAGTATTGTGATGGTGAAGCTAAGGCTACCATTCACTTGGTATTGTTTTTACTTGTAAATTCCCATTGATTTTTAGGACTGCAATTCATCAGTCTCTTGTTGGCATATGTGCATACTGTGCGTATTACCTCGATATAGCGTTAACTCACAAGCATTACATGCAAATATCGATAATAGCTAGCAGTGGAATCTGGGCCGCGCGTTTCGTCATATTTGGGACCCGTTAGCTGGATGTACCTGTATCTCAGAGAAACTGTCGAGCACCGTACTCATGTACCGTCGAAGGATGTGGCTGGAGACACTACATCTTGTTACACAGGAAGCGGGAAAAGCAGAGAGACAGTGATGGTAATGCTCACATTAATACCCAAATCCTTACTGAGGAAAGTGCTAAGTGTGTACGGAGACAGGTAGCACTTGCAAGTGTCTCTACAGACTTGCATTTTCCTAGATAGCATCTCAAACGCCTTGCTTATTACAAAAGATTTAGGTAGAAAGCTGGGTTTAGAGGGAGAGTTCAAGACGCTCTTATTAAAACCGCTAGGTATCCAGTCGACATTTCAGTGTAAAGAGGTTCAACTAGAAGTTTCCTCCTTAAACACTTCTTCATTAATCATGATTCCAAAGTTATGAACGGTCAAGGGATTACCTATGTTACGTAGGACGGTGCCAACATCTCAGATGACATTGCGGCCTCACTTGCGTGGTGTGACCGCGCCAAGAGTTGAGAATAAGGACGTCAAGGTACTAATAGAGTGCAATTTACCTGAGGCACATGAGATGAGTTGGAAAATGCTATAAAAACTCCTTTGGCGTGGACGTCGTTTGGACCTTACAATGAGACCACGAAATGTGTAGATATTATAAACTGTCGTCTAAAAATGAACTAGAAGCTAGATTAGACTAATTATATAAGATGGAGTTTGAAGACCCGAATCAGTGTGTTAATGTCGGCTGAAGACCGTAAAGCCTTGGACGTTGTCTAAATTTACGCAGTTAGTAAACGGGCATTAACAAATAGCTTTGCCCTGGCGTCATCAACAAAGCCTACCTAATAGTAGAAAACTAGCAATGAGTAAATTAAATTGTTTGAGAAACTGGCTGTGATAAGAGACTGTACAAAGAATATGTTAAGGTGATGACACAATACATTGAACGAGGCTACGCCGAAAAAACTAGAGAGAATTGCATTAGGTGTCAGGTTTGTTATTTACCGCATCATCTATTCCCTCACCCAAAAAAACTAATAAGCTAAGAATCGTATTGGACTGTGCGGCGCAATACGCAGGGACGTCCCTGAATAAAAACTTGTATTCCGGTTCAGATTTAGTCAATAACCTGGTAGATGTCTTTACATTTCGGCGAAGACCAATGGGTCTCACGGTATATATATTCTCAGTTCAAGGAAATCTTACGTTTAGAGAGTTTTGATCTGACCAAATGAGCCAGCAAAAATATTGAATTAGTGAAGCTTATTCCAAAGGAAGACCTAATGGAAACGTAGGCATCCGTTTACCTATGGAAAGGAACGAAAAGATTCGAGAAACACAGTGGAATGTTCGAGCGGATAAGATCACCTTCAGAGTGAGCGAATTCGATGCGCCCATGCAAGGAAAATCATTTTGACATATGTAGCTTCTATGTTCGACCCAGTCGGGTTTATAGCTCCAGTTGTTTTACCAGCTAAATTAATTTTGTAAGATACTTGTCGGCGAAATCTGGCATGGGACGCAGAGCTTTCCAGTGAGTTTATTACGAGATGGGAACTGTTACTTCCTAGATGTCTCGTACCAGAATCGTACAAACCACTGGCTACTCGGATTCATTGATTTGCCGAAGACTCAGAATTTGCATGCGATGTTGTGGCGTATGCTCGTTTTAAAAATGCTTGCCGTCAATTTCACTTTTCCCTTTGATTGGCTAAGTCCAGGGTTGCTCCATTGAAACCTATAGCCATTCCTAGAATGGAATTAGCAATATCGGATTAGGTAGGGCAAGATTTAATGCTTTATCCACTAAGCCACTGTTTCACAGAATTCCTCTTTTCATAATGTATATTAGGAATTTATTTAGATGTTCATTATGGAAAGATTTGAGTTGTCTAGCACATAACTGACTGACCGAGCTATTTATGAGAAGTAAATTACTGAACTAAGTGAAACATCAAAAACACTAAGCAAAGAGCAGAAGCAGTTAAAAAGACTACAGAAACGATTCTAATGTTTACTTACTCTCGGATCCCAGACAGGTAAGCACAAACTTGCAATATACTCACACTCCCGCAACCTAACAGGTTTCGGCCAAGGCCATTGACTGAATATGGTAAAAAATAGATAGACGATCATGGATGGCGTAGCGTACGGATAAAGTTGGCAAATTCGAGAAACTAAAATTGCCCAAGACACGCCACCGAGGAACCCCAATGCATTTGAATAGACATTACGACGCTTAGCCCATATTCGTATAACCTTAAATAATGGTACAAAGGAATGTGTTATGTGGCATGATGAGTTACCTTTAGGGCTACTTTAAAAGAATTTTTATTGTACACAAGATTGAGAATGTCCTCTGTAACACGAACACCATTAATACTGCGCACATCTCGTTCATCCATATTTCGCATGAGCACCTCTGTGTTTTCACAAAGACTAAAGTTTTCCGGTATAGACATTTGATCAATTTGAGCAAATAAAAGGTCGATCTATAGGAAGAAATTTATTGCGTATTATGTGACGCAGAGGTATTGCATACTTCAACTCCCATAAATTTCATTTTAAGTACAGGAACAAAGGCATCCACAACAGCGTGTAAGTCTTCCACATTAGAATTTTCCGCTAATACAGTCTGAAAATCACCGAAAAACTCCTCGCGTGTTATAAACCGTGGGACGACCAGTAAAGAATCAATATCGGCACCCCTGAAATTTACACCTAAACGATATGAACCAAAAGTGAAAATTTTCCCAGTTGTAGAATTAGCAACATGTGCGGGGAGATTTTGTTCCAGTGCTTTTTGACGAATCCATGCATTTGAAATTTCCTGCAACCTAACGAGAGCTTCACGTCTCTGTGATATCTCCTCTTGAGTTTCAAAAATATTAAGTTGAGCAAGGCTAGCCTCTAGTTCCTGTGTATCTCTAAAATCTTGTTCCGTAGGTTTCTTGAAGCTCAGAGCTCCCGTTTCACCAAGACACCTAGCTGGTATTTCCTCACCAACATTCATCTGCAGAGAAAACCGAAACTACATTAGTTAAATGCACATATATACATCAATAAATGACAAATGATCAGTATATGATTAAATATACCTACGAGGTCAAAACTGGCAAAAACCGGAGTCCGCACTTACTGTTTGAAGTGATCTGATAGAACTGGTCAAGAAAAGTGTTTATTTCAGTAGTTGTGTGTGCTAGTGGTAGCATGACTGACAAGATTAACTGACATGCAGTGGAAACCAGAGTGACTTACGTTAGTCTTATTTTATACTGTATGTAAAAGGTTGGGTTTGCAATGTGTTGGCGACAGCTGTTCTGCTCTATAATCGTAAAACGTGGCCTCAAAATTAAGAATGTTTGATGACTTCGTGTTCCATCGTCGTCTCCAGAGGGTTGTTGGAATCCAGTAGCAACACCATGTGAGTAATACTGGTGTTCGGGAATGCGTATTTAGGCTATTTTGATACACCGGCGTCGGTAACTTAGATGTGTTACGAATGCGGAGTGGGGAAAAAGGATAGTTTGTGACATGACATCGTAGTATAAAAGCATGTATAAGCCTGGCATCTCTCGGCAGAATACGACTTCGTGGTTGCCGTCCGAGAGATTATGTAACTCAATGGATTAAGACATCAGATATGGTTCAAAATATATCATCTGCCTATTTAAAGTCGATAAGTAGACCTCCTGATAGGAGAGCAATGTCTGAAAATTCAGTAGACGAGAATGTTATTTCCAGCATTAGGTCTATGATGAAGTTGAACAAAAATAGAGATAGTGGACAGCCTTGCTGGACACCAATTGAGGTTGCAAAAGCTGATGATAGTTCTCCATAAGCTCTGACGTGGTTGGTAATATTCAAGTTAAGGTTCCTCACGAGGTTTATGCACTTATGAGGTACGCCTTTCAATGACACACTGTCACAGAATCTCGCGGTCTACAGAGTCAAATGCTGCTTTTAAGACAGGAAAGACCACCATTGTCGGACGTCGATAAGTACGCCTGTGTTCTAGAACCTGACGAATGGTGAATATGTGGTCGATGCAGCCACGACAAGGTCTGAAACCAGCTTGATTCGCTCGTGTTTGCAGTTCACGAGTCTTAGTTAGGAGACCGATAATTGTTGAGGTTAGTATTCTACATGCTATGTTAGTCAAACTAATCTCTCTATCGTTATCACAGAATGATTTTGACCTTCTCTTATATATTGGGACGATAAGTGATTGTGACCAATGAGATAGGATTACGCCGAACTCCCAGATTTTACCCAAAATATTAGTCAATCCAATCACTAAAATTGGACCACCATCCTTAAAGACCTCTGGAGCCAATCTATCTGGACCAGCTGCCCTTTCTCGTTTCAGATTAACTATAGCCTTTTGAACTTCTGCTAGAGTTGGGGGACCATTCACAGTCTGAAAATATTGTGTAGTCGTAGAGTAGCTGAAGGTCTGCGGACCTGTTCTCTAAAATGTTCCGCCCATCGTTCTAAACGTCTGGACTGGGAGCAGATGAGTGTCGTCCTTTTCCGAAATAGTCTGACTTACACTTGACTTATTAATTCCAGCTTCTTTTATTAGTCTGTAGAGCTGTCTTGTGTTCCCTATAACCGCCGCCTTTTCCATCTCTTTTGCTTTCGTTTCCTACCACTGCTCACGGTCGTTTCTTAAACGTTTGCTTAACCTAGATCTGATTTGTTTACGCTCTTCATCATGTTCAGAACCCAATGGGATGAGTTTGCGAGAATCCATCAGTGCAATAGACCTTGAAGAAATCCACTGGTTCTTTGTAACCATTTGGTTTAGATCACTAACATATCACTGCTGTTTCCACAGTTGTTTGTATATCTTTCCAAGCAACATCTGGGTTAGCCTCGTTTTCAGAACTACCTAAGTGTGACCACAGTTCCTGGAACCTACTTTTGATTTTCTCATTAGTCAATCCATCCATCTAATAGGTCTTCTGAATACGCTTTTTCTGCGTCCAGTGAGGCGCAAGCAGATGCGTGCCCGTATTAGAGCATGGTCCGAGTTCAAGTAGGTACTTCAGAATGAGCGACAATCTCCTATCGACCCTCTCCAACGATGACTAATGGCAATATGGCATATTTTAAGCCATTTCTTTAGAAAGCTTTCTGTAAAATTCTTTCACTTCATCCGGGCTGCAGCCAATGAGAGCGTAGGCAGAAACAAAGGAAAAGCAACGACATGTGACCCTATCCTTCCGAGTTTATACGGAGCCGTTTAGCCGAACAGTACATAAACGACTGTTAACGACGATCCACTCTAATAGTGCTTTTTCCGCCCTCATGCTTAGTACTATGCCTACTCCTGCCAGTCCACGAGAGCTGGCCGTCGGGTCACCAGATACACGGAGGGTGAATCTCGTTGGCTCTCCGTTTTACCGAGGTGAGGTCAAGTGAATGACCACACTAGAATCCTACATGCGTGTTTCGGAGACACAGCATACATCAATCGTACGAGATTCTAGGGTCCTAGTCAAGGGAGCCTGTTGACCAATTTGACATAGGGTGAGCACGTTGAAGCCCCCAATGTCAGTCAGTCAGTAACAATGTAGAACTTCGTACGTACGTACATCAGTTCGAGTTGCTACACCACATTAGCACAGAGATGCAGTGGTCAATTCAAATCCCGTAGTGGTAGAGGTAATAAGAGTATAAGCAGTAATCGGAAAGATTAATGTTTGGAGATGTTACTTAAAGAGTATAATACAGTGAAATAAACTTGGGAAGAGAAAAGGAAAGAGACAAGGGGGAATCAGGAGATCAAAATTTGGGAGAACATAAAGAGTGGATGCACCTGCGCCATTGCAAACGATTTTGAGCCATGTCATTCAAGGTCTCTAACCATCGGATTCTATAATCTCGCGATCCCCAACCAGGTAGTCTACACCTACCGACATGACTCAGTCCACTTGTCAGTGACTTCATGGGGTTGTGCCATGTTTTGGTCTGGCCGCCCCTAGCTTTCTTCCAACCTACTCCTACACCATAAAACATCGCACGTCGGGGCAGTTGGTGGTTGAGGATACATAACACGTGTCCCAGCCATCTCAACTGATGAAGTTTCACTACGTCATCAATCGATTTGCCATCCTTACCTAGTACCCGTTTCCTAACAACTGCATTACTTACTCGATGGTCCCAGGATATATGAGCAATATTTCGAAGACACCTATGATCAAATACTAGTAATCTATGGATATCTTCTACTCTTACCGGCCATGTTTAACTGACATAAAGTAGGACGGAACGAACTGCTGCGCAGTAAACCCGTCCTTTGGTTGATAGACGGATGTCTCGCCAACGCCATAAATGACGCAAGTTGGCAAAAGCTAGTCGGGCCTTCTGTATCCGTGGTGAGATTTCGTCACACACTAGACAACAAAGGCTGATGAGACTTCCAAGATAGGTGAAGCGATCGACACGCTCAATTACTTCACTCCCTATCATTAGTTCGGGTGACGATGCAACCCAATCCATGTGTCCCTATCCTTCCGAGTTTATACGGAGCCGTTTAGCCAAACAGCACATAAACGACTGTTAACGACGATCCACTCTAATAGTGCTTTTTCCGCCCTCATGCTTAGTACTATGCCTACTCCTGCCAGTCCACGAGAGCTGGCCGTCGGGTCACCAGATACACGGAGGGTGTATCTCGTTGGCTCTCCGTTTTACCGAGGTGAGGTCAAGTGAATGACCACACTAGAATCCTACATGCGTGTTTCGGAGACACAGCATACATCAATCGTACGAGATTCTAGGGTCCTAGTCAAGGGAGCCTGTTGACCAATTTGACATAGGGTGAGCACGTTGAAGGCCCCAATGTGTAGTTTGGAGCCAGAATTCAGTAGACCTGGAAGCGTTTTGCGCACTAGAATCGTGGGCTATGATGACACTCGAGGAGGAAGCCAAAAGAGGAAGTTGAAAGTCAATGTAAGAGGAATAATAGGAATTGAAGAGGGAGGTTGATTATGAATACAGTGGTCTTGAGTGCTATTAGAGGTATGAGGGCGGTTATCACTTCCCGGTTGCCCATACCGTGGAAGGGTTCATCTAAAGGTACCTGAAAAGGAAATTGAATTAAGGGTGATCTTGGTGACCTGAGAGCGTGGCCGCAGTGCCCAAGGAACGACTGATTGAGGTCGGTGTTAGCTCCGTACTTGTTGAAACCTTACCACCGAAGACGGATATCCGTGGGATAAGGCGAGGTGTGTATTTTTAGGGTCGACCTTTTCTAACCCCATCCCTCCTTGTGGGAAGGCAGCATCGCTGTCATGCTGGTCGTCTGAGGGAAACACCTTACTGCTGTCACACCTCTGTACAGTCAGCAGTACGACTTCGCCTTCGGACCTTAGGTTTGTTGCTTTTAGTCCTACCGCTCTTCAACCGACCTGTCTGACATGGTAGGACCTTGAGGGACGGTTGTTCCAGCCAGTATAGCTCGGTTGCTTCATCACGATAGACAAGCTCGACCACCACGTCAAGGTAGCAACAACAGTTGGGAGCAGATGAGCACCACTTACTCATGAAAATTATGCGTTGAAAGGGCTTCTAAGTGGAAACTCGAAGGGATATGTTTACCATTGTTTGTAGTCATTGTTTTAAAAGCTAGTGTCAGCATGGAAATGTTTGAAATTCACATTATATTACTTCAAAGGTAACAGTCCTCACCGCCAACTAGAGTTTACTGAATGGATGTGACTATTAACTAGTAATGAAGATACTCAGTAAGTTTTAGCCCAACTCTACCTTCTTCGATTTTGACAACTAGATAGTATCACTAGACCTTATATAAAATATGCCTAGGAGCTGGGCACATTTATTTTCCGCGTGGTAAATGAGCTGCACTTTTCTATTGAGTTAAATAAACTTTATTGTGTAACAAAACCCTTAAATTTCACTGAATACTAATATAGACAAATGTGCTACATTGAAGTAATCTAATGTTTGGAGACATTGAGAAATATGACTCAGAATCTGTAGAATTGGTGCAGAGCTAATTATTTAGTCTTTTTTGTTAGATCTAACGTTTTAAAGCTATTCTATACTTCTCATCCCGCGAATTCATTATTCCTTCTTCAATCACATCAATGAGCTTTCTACAACCACTAATACTGTTAGCAGGTTAGTTCGCATAATCCCATTGTGCTGTGCTTTGGTGTAGTCAACCAAATTCGGAACTGAAATATCGATAAGACACCATATTAATGGATGAGTTCCGAATCCTTAACCCAGTGATTACGTTCATCTCCGGAAAAACAATCAGTAGTGTATTTAGTGTATATCAGGTGGCAGGTGTAGACGCCGCTGTAACTAAGATCTCAGGGTTGCCTTGAGAACTAGTTTTTTAGTCGTACAATTTCGGTACTATATGAACTAATTTATGCCAGTACGAAGGAATGCATGAGCTGACACCAATAAATTGATTCCTCAATGGACCCGCGACGCGCATTGGACAACACTTCAAAATTAACTACGATCAGTTATGCACACCTTACTTTGAAACATTTTAGTATTATCTGTTTTGACAGACTCAAGTTTTGTCCACAAGTCAACAAGATCCAAAGTTGAATACCACTGTACCACCAGGACACTTTCAAATCCCAAGTGCTTACGGAGAACTGTTGAATTAATTGACAGTCTGCTATGAACTTATTCTAATTCTTCAATATGTATGTCAGCGACAACTATTCACCAAACAGTTAGCAAATATTAAAAACCCAATTAGAATTTACATTAAAATATTAAGACTAAATAAGGCAATCAAAATGTCTGCAAAATTAGTTTCAGATGTAGTTAAATTTTTGTTACTTTACATCTGGAAGCAGAAAACGAAGTCTGTCTGAAGCATCTTTTTCGAACTATGACGACTTGGATTTTAACACCCACATTTCATACTAGTCATCAAAACGATTACTTGTCCATGATAGCACAAACTCACCAGTTTAAAAGGATGAAAAATAACCTCTATTCAAAAATATTACACGTGTAACTTTGCAGGGAATCAGTAACAAGGACGCTTACCGCACATAGACATTTGAAACGAATATCCCACACCGCCTTCTAGCATGTAAAACATTCTTAATATGTTATTAGCATAAGAATAATTTCAATGTTCCAATATAATCTTCTTTTCTATATCACTTTCTTTAACTTGAAAAATCTACATAAATATCGAAAAGAATTGAGATTCGCACTTAAACTTTGTTGAATAGAATAAGTCAACTCTTTGTACTTCGAGATTTGAATCCGGATAGTGGCTGAAGTGTTGTTAGTTACGGAAAGATGTTGTTCTTGTTATATTTTGACTGGAAATCGGAGGTGGAAACAAGTTCGCTGGTAACAAAACTGATCGGGAAGTAAAATCTGAGGTGGTACATCTCAATACCTGCAAGCCAAAAATAATCACCGTATTTTCTCTGAACGATACAGAATTTCCCACTATCGAACATCAGGATTATACACCCTATTATCCTTCTTCAATACGTAGCTTCATTTGGACGTTTTATTCTAAGTCTTTTTTTAAGTTTATTTGTCGATATCGTTAGATTACGTCTTGTAGACGAATTTCAATTTACATTGATATCACTTTGTATGGAACTGGGATATACCATGGAAATAAGGAGTGAAAGGTTTAAAGATAATACATAATTCAAAAGCGATGGTTTTAAAGCTGTTTTTCAGTTGTGTAGGTTTTATGAGAATCAATGTAATGATAACTTGAGTGTTGATATTATGAGTGCCAATGTGCTTAGTTCTAAAAGGCTAAAATTAAATAATGGAATGCTTAAAAAGATATAAATAGAAAAGAGTCTCGAATCGGAAAAAGAGCTTGAGATGTTAAATATTTTAAATGAGGTTTAGTTTGGTGATTTTTTTATTATGAAGACCTTTACGAGTATCTTATGGATAGTGTGAGGCGAATCCTAAAATGTTAGGTTATTTACAGGATAATACTGGTTGTAACGTTGATTTGGGAGAAGCACTCAGAATTCCGAAAGGAAAGTGGGCTCATGAGGACAAGAATACGTTGTCTTTTATTATTAATAATTTCGACTTACCCTAAATTGATAATAAGCACTTTAATGGACAGCCTGTTCAGTAACAACATTTTGTTAGGCAGGTTACTAGCTTCATAGTAAGTAAATTGTCCAATGAGAGTCAACAGTAATTATATTTGCTTTACTTTAATGAACGAGAACACAGATGGGGACAATTAATGTACTTTAATCCAAATTTACAGAATATTTTGTTAAAATATGAAAACCATACACTAAATACTTCATTCGCGAATTCCCATAATTTATGCTTCACATTCTGTATTATTTTTCCAGTTCATTATTCCTTTCTATTTTCGCTTCTGTTCTCTTCAACTCGATCTTCTTAGCCTTCTGCTACCAGGTTTTTCACTTCGGATTGGTGTTACATACTTCTAATGTATGTCGACATAAGCAACATACACCACAATACTACTGTAAAGGATAAGCCAGGACAGTCATTGAGACTTGCATCTCCTTGTCTTGCAGTTTGGATTATGACAGAGTGAGATAGATTCTGTATGATATACCTTGAAGGGAACGTCTGATTACCCTTAAATTAAGTGTAAATTGGCTTAATCTTAAATCTGTTTGGTGCTCAGTAGATGACATGGCTGTCTTCACAACCAAGTTACTTAACGCATATAACACTGAGACAAGTGGGATGTGTGTCCGACGTAAACTATACAGCTAATTTGGAAATAGTTGTGTCACATTTACTACTGGATTTACAGGATAGGTGGGAAGAGGTTGTCGACAAAACCATGATGGCAGTTGTATATCATGTTGTTTTTAGAATCTCTAGAACATGGCCTGTTATAGCCACAGTTCTTATAGTGTGTATAATGTTTTGGAATGTTAACTGATCTAATCTATAACATTATTATTCATATTTGTCTATAGATATGGGAAGATGAGTATTTAAAATGGAATGAACCGGAATTCGGAAATGTAAGAATTTTGCATGTACCAGCTGAGCAAGTATGGACTCCAGATACTTATGTATTTAATAAGTAGGCAAATTTTCTATATATTATTTTTCATAGTAAATAAATAATACACATAGGGAAAACTTTCAGTGAGTTTTCAGTTAATGTCTATCTTTACTGAACGCTACGTTCCTAGAATTTGCTTACCTGATTTCATGGAACTGCACCTCCTGACTTTGCTCCACTGACTTGTGAATTAGACCTTTAAATCAAAGGCTCCGGATGTGATCCCTTAAGATAACCAGCTGTTTGGATTTGGACACCTGGACAGTATTCCAGCCTTTCACACCAATCGAATGACTCATGACTTAGTAGAATTCCACATTTTTTGTTTTGTTTTTCAAAACCATGAATTTATCAATTAAATGTACTTACATGTCAGTTTGTACATTTCATTAATGGGACTTGGTTCATATATTCTGTAATTCTGAACAAAAAATATTTATTAATCACTAAACTGATAAATGACTTATGGTCATGCACACTTCTAAGGAGTCCCATACCAGGACGAAACGATCGTCCAGTGCTTCCAGGTTTTCCATGGTGGTCTAACTTCAATTGACTCATGAGCTAAACTATTAAACCACCATAATATCCACGAAACCCCTCTTTGGTTGTAATCTGACATATGGTTTAATATTAAAATTACTTGTTGACATGTCTTTTAATCTTCTGAAATTAAGCATGAGTTGCGTGTACCAACCTTCGACCTCGAAAGACGTCGTTGATGAATCTGTGGGAAGTTTGTACAGGATTTCGTAAACCGAAAGGCATATGCAAACACTTGTATTGTTCGGCGATGATAACGACTACAATGATGTCGTCTGCCGCCATAAGACTTGGTTATACGCTTTAACCTGATCGATTTCGAAAAAGATGTTGCATATTCCATGGTAGCTCTCAAATCGTAAATGTGCGGCAAGGGGTAACGATCGGGAGTCAATCGCCGATGACCACTAGTTGAACGGCATTCACTGCTGTCCTTTCTTGGGTTCATATGCAAGAGAGATGCGCATGGGTTGTTTGATGGCCCAACAATTCCTAAATCTATCATGTGGTCGAATTCGTTTTCGGCCAAACTTAGCTTTTCGCGAGCTAGTCGGTGCGTTTTCGAAAAGAGAGGTGAGCATGTAGTCGTGATAAGGTGTGCAACATTGCTGGTTATACATAGTGATTTTTTGGCGTTTGGCACGGATCAGAGCACTGATCGAGTATCTGTTGATAGAATGTTTCGATTATGTGCCTTACAGGATAATTTGCAACCGGTAAGGTTACACAAGCAGATAATTTAGTACTTCCATCTACTAAACTCCGTTTGCCCGGGTTAATGAGTAGATTATGGTGTTGTAGTAAGTCTATACCAATGATTGACATAGAAACACGTTAAGATAAACATATCACTTACCTCATATGGCAATAAGTTTCTCATTCGCCACCATTAGGTTGAAAACTGGATCGTGCAGTCGATCGTCAGAACTCGCCGGTAGAACGCTTACTTATGCATCGGTGTCGATGAAATTGTGATCTACCGTCACCACGTCAATGATGTATAGCAAGAGGCTATGTTCGCACCCTACGATTAGTGTTAACGCGTGCTGATGAAGATGTTTTACAGAAGTTTGTTAATGTCGGACTTTTTGAAGCTCGTAAAACGTCAGGGAATAAGCAAAAAACTTATATTTAGAAGCTATTTTTGCAAACCATGGTATTTAAAAAGGCAATTGAACGATATCTGTAAGTTGGACGCTTTATAAATCTAGATACTGGGTGACTTGTTGTACTGAGTTGTGGGTGATGAATATGATGGAAATGAGACGCTTAGTGAGAAAACGTGGTTCCTGTTATGTTTATCTGAGAAAGGATGACGTGGCCAACTTATGTATATCTGGCTTACGATGGAAAGTCGAGGACTACAAGTTTTAATATCATTCATTGATACACATCGATGTTGATAAACATACACTGAATAAGCTGGATATTGAAACCACTCAAATGTTTGAGAATTATTCCAGTCAAGCTATACACTATATATATGAAGTTACACAAACAGAAAATTTAGTACTTCCATCTACTGAACTACGTTTGCTCGGTAAACAATCTCTAGATGTTTCACCTAATCATGTTTTTTTTTTCAGTTATTTTTAAGCATTTAAATGCTTATTCGTCATAATTATAACGAATATTGTTGACGATTGTTTTTCAAAGATTTGTGTTAAGGTTTTGTCAGTTTCTTGGACACCAAATTCACAGGGTTACTTTGAATGAATGAAATTACTATGCCATTCATGTTTTGTAGTGCCCAGTTTACATACGATTGTCCTGACATTTGTAGCGCTCTCTAATCCGGAGAGACCGTTCCGAAGCAGCTCTTCATTCTTCTTCAGTCAAGAACTAATAGTGACACCAGCATGATGGTCAATGTGGAACTCATGTGTGGCACTGATGATAGACTCAGTGCTGCAGGTCACTGGGTGTTGGGTTTCGCTAAGATACACATATCTACGCAAGAGATTCCATGATTCGTATTTGAGCCTGTTCAAATCGTTTCATCTGACGCTACAAAAAAGCTTATAATCTTTCAAAGGCGATCTGGATTGTGATGTCACCGTCATCAGTTGATAAATCTTGCAACTGGTACGCTTAAATAGTCTTTTTTACCAGTTTCTACAACTCAAGTATCTTCTTCACGTTAACTGGGACACTGTAGAGAAGGCGCAAAGTGTGATACAGAAGTTTACTCCAAGGTCAGTCAATGTACTTAAAATCCAAAGTATTTCTGCTTCTACGTACGACGTTGGCGTTTGGAAATTCATGGGATCACACAAAATATGGTAGGAGTATTGGCAACCATCCAGCTTGCATGTATTCCAGAAGATTTTACTCAATACGGACTGGATAAATCATTTTGTGTTGTTCCCAGTTCTCTAAGGTTTTGACGAACGAAAGTTTCGAGACCTACAATGGTCTTTAGCCGCCTCAACACTTAAAATAATGAGAACACTGACATTCATAATAATAATTTATTCGTAAACGACAAC